AAAAAAAAAAAAAAAAAAAAAAAAAAAAAAAAAAAAAAAAAAAAAAGACAAGAATCTTACATCCAAGAACAACCCCCTTCTAGGCAGGTATCGCCTGTGGCCTCAGCAAGAAGAAGGAGAAGGAGAGGAAGAAAAAGAATCAGGTCTGCGCCGCCGTTGCCGCCGTCCCAAAGAAGAAACACCATTACAAAAAGCAGTAGTACAACAAGTATACGCTCGTCAAACAGCCAAACCCCCAAAACGCCCAGCTTGTCAAAATGCTTTATGCTCCGCACACAACAAGAACAACACCAGAAAAAGACTTTCCATCATCAAGCAGCAACTTCCTCGCCTCCACTGAGCTTGTCATCCACAGAGGATATTACCTCCTCGGGGATAGAATCCGCACTTCTCGTCCGCGCCCGCATTCTGAGCTCCAGCGCGGCCTCCTCAAACGACCCCCTTCTACCCCAGTTCCGGGGCTGTCTCTTGAGGAACGCACCCACAGCACCGAGGTAGCCCTCATGGCGCAAGAAGTAGGCCTGCTTGGCCCCCTTGCTCCAGAACTTGATGGCGTAGCTGAGGGTGTTCATCGTTTGGGGGTGGCCGCGGATGAATGAGCCGCCAAAGTAAATGTGAGACAGCCCGTGGATCTGGCTTTGGAGGTAGGCGATCTGGCCAATGTTGTTGCTGATAGCGTACAGCAGTGACCTGGAGATGTCGGCTGACGAAAAGGGGCGGCTGGGGTCTTTGGACATGAAGTCTGATAGTTGCGGCTCGGGCTGTTCCACGTCTTCGTCTAGAAGTGGTGGGGTGTGCACGCCATTGTGGGTACGGGGTTGTTGTTGGCGATGGTGGAGTTGATCCTTGTGAGCAAGGCCGCCGCTGTCTTCGGCTTCGGTCTCGGCTTGCCGCTTCTTGCGGAAGACTTTACCAAACGAGCTGGCAATGGTGGTGCTCTTCAGGCCAATCTTGCCGTAGTCGGTGCCGTAGATGTCGCCGACGAGCATGTCCACGTTGCTGTTGTCACCTTCAGAGGCAAGGTCCAGCATCTCGTCGAATGTGCGCGCACCGGTAAGGAGACTCAGGAGACCCCATAGAGTGCCACCTCCTAGTGAAGTACCGCCAACACGCTCATATTCCCGGGGTCCGGAAACTTTGAGGAATGATACGCCAGAACCAATGTTGACAAGGAGGTATGGGTATACATTGTCTCCTGGCTCCACGAACTGCATGGGATGTTCTTCCGAGTAGGTGAAGACCTCACGTGGGATCTCGTTGATGAAGAAATCAAGGCCAATGATCAGGCATTCCATTTCATCTTCCCTCAAGACATCGACGCCGAGTACCTCTCGGATCTTGTCGTAGAACTTGTAGGCGCCGCCTCCTGTCGCCATGACACAGAGTTCAGACGCCGGTGGGCTGTTGGCCCCGTTGGCCCGCTGGTACCTGCGCTTCAGCTTGCGCATAAACTCGAGGCAATCATCTATATGATCCGTCTCAAAACTCTGGAAGTTGAGCCGTCCGCCCGGTTCGGTCGAGTGAGCCTCTCGGGAGAAGTAGACAAGCTTGGCAAGGGAACCACCAATCTGGAACGACCAATCAGCAAGATGACATCATTGTGAATTTCAGGGGTCGCAGAGCCTACATCAATGGCGATATGGCTCACAACGGCAGTGTGGTTCGGCAGCCGGATATCCTGGGTCTCGTGCCGGACTGGCGACCGGCCGGGGGATCCGCTCCGGCCGTCATCGGAGTGCGTCGGGGTGCTGCTGTCCTGGTCGACGATGAATGCGCCCTTGACGTTGATGCGCACCGAGCCAGGATGGCTCAGCGTCTCGTCGATTTCGGCAATGCAGACGGTGCCGGACCTTTCGCGACGGCCGTGGACAGGAGGAACTTCGTTCGGGATGACAAGCGATGAGAGGATGTTGCCATCGGTCGGGGCGTGTGCTCCGTGCTCCCGGGCCTCTTCGCCCACGGCCGCCTTCACGTCTCCGGAAGGCAGCGGGGCATCGGCCTGGTAGATATCGTTCGGCATGGTTCGGTGGTCGGGGGGTGCTCTCCCATCAGGGGAATTGAAACAGCGATGGGAAGGTGAGTTCAGGGAGGCATCAACGTGTCAATGAAAGGGGCCATCGGAAGCGGAGTTTTTATTCGCGCTGTAGAGCGCTCAACCTTTTTATTTTCCGGAATGCTCAGAATTACTTCGTAGAACTCATCCCGCACGCTCATCCTGGCGAGTTTTGAGCCTGCAGCGCCCGCAGTGGTCCGGTCCCACGGCTCAAAAGCCAGAAAGTCGGGTTATCGATAAGGCGCGCCCCTCCCTTCTGCGCCCGCATTGCCTGCCCATTCGCCCGAGGTCACGCCCCCAAAGGAGAGAAATGCCGAGTTCTGACCACTGTTTTAACGCCGCCAAGCCAACCCCTCCATCCATTCTCCCATTGAGAAAGAAAGTCTGGTGCTATCGTCTGACAAACGACTCGGTTCGCGCCACAACATTTCCAGCTGTACGAGCCAGCCCCGAGGCATTGTTCGGCCGTCGGGAGCCTCGGTCGTCTGCAGCATTCGTCTGACAGCACCGCAGCACCGCAGCACCGCTCTGTCCTCAACTCCAAATTCATCGAGGTCGCCGTTGGGGCTAAGAATGGCTCCGTCTCCGAGCTCTCGGTTGAGTTGGGACTTTGCGTCTTGTTTTGCTCACTGTTGTTGAATTTCCCAAACCAAGACCAAAGTTCGAAACCGGCCTTATGCTAGCTACAGACACAATCATACCCGTCGTCACGTCACGTCATTTTTGAACCTGGGACCCATATCCCCGATACCATATAAAGCAAAACCCCCAGATTCCCCAGCTTTCCCAGACCGCTTGTGCTTTTTCGAGGTCCGAGTTGATAGTGTTACAAGTCATACATACTCCGTGTTTTCCCCGGACATACCCCAATCCCCTTGCTTATACGACTGCACATCATCGTATTCAAAACAGATTCCCACCCGGAAGCGGCACAAAAATCGCCGTCAACCCCCCCGCGCAAATAAACGCAAACAGCAAGCTCTGCACAAAAATGGTGTCCTGGATCTGTCTGAGCGCCGGTTCCTGAATCCTGTACGCATGTTAGTCTGGTCCCTACCCACCCCTTAGTAGTAGTACTCACCAAACCTCCCTATCAAAAATCTTCCTGATCAAATTCCTTTTCTCATACTTGACCACCCACGGCTCATTCTCAAAACTGTTGCTCCCAGTCTCCAGACTCTTTTCACTCCTCACATCCTGTTCCTTCTCGTTCTGCTGATGGTCCTCCTCGTCAACAACAAACAGCTCCCATGGCCTCACGTGTCTGTGATGGAGGCCATGCAAGACCACGCACATTCCCTTGTATGCTGCTACGAGTGTTGCAACGCCAATCACCCACCCTATTGCTGGCAGCGCCCTGAAGCCTCTAGGGGCAGATGACAAAGTGAGGATGATGGCGGCGATGGTGCTCAGAGCGATAGTGCCTACTCCAAGGCAGCGGGCGAATGTTACTCTGACAGGGTTACCATTGCAAATCGACCAGCGGATGAAGTTGGGGTGGGCTTGCTGACGAAGAGTGGACTCTACGCTCCTGACCACCACCCTCAGCGCAGAGGGATGAGTGGTGAAGCAAAGAGCTTGCAGCACAGCCTTTTGCTCCCGGTCAGAAAGGTTGAGTTGCCTTGGGCTGCCGGACATGATATACGTCGCGATGATCCTGTCCAACTCGACCCTGAACGGCTGAACCGTGAATGGGGCCTTGAGCCCAGCCAGCGCAAAGGCTTCGTTGGCGGCAGTGTTGTAGGTTGTTGCTGTGGTTGAATTAGGGTAGTGATGACCACGGTCTGAGGGGGTGCGAGGGGGGGTACCAAACGGATCCCCACCGTTGCTTGCTGCCAGGGGGCTTATGGGGGTCGTGGCAATGGTGGTGGCCACGGAGGGCTTCCGGATGGGCTTCTCAAAGTCGGTGCCCTTGAAGATTTCAGCCACGGCTGGGCTGACAGACTTGGAGGGCTTGACGCGGGCCTTCTCGGCCTGTTCCTTCTTGATACGGGCAATGGCTTCTTCCTCCATCGCCAGGGTCCATTCTGGTGCGAGGGCGAGGTCCGCTGTTTGAGCTTCGTTGAAGCGCTTCTCAAAGTCGCGGTACCATAGGAAAAATTGGAGATTTTCGGCAGAGCGCTCGACGTAGATGAGATAGTTCATGAAGTCACGAACGGTACAAGGCTGAGGACTTCATGTTAGCAGATGTCTGAAGGGGCGGAATTGAAGAATCTTACAGGGCAGGTGCCCCCTTCGATGATACGATCAAAGCTGAGAGGCGGCGGGATACCTCCTGAGCTGCCCGACCTGATCGACTTCAAGGATGTGTCACCTTGATTGACAGATCCATCTTCAGACTGCTGTGTCGAAGCTTGACTGGCGCTTGTTGCTGGTCTTTCGACCAAGGCTGGCCGCCGATAGTTCAAGGGTAACAGGTTTAGGATTGCCATGTTGAACGAATGTAGCAACCAAGGCGTGTGAGCCTGGAACAAATGGTGAAGTAGACAGGGAGGAGAAAGAATGAGCGTCTTCAACAAGTTGGGTAGGCCTTGGCACCTTCGACCTTGGGGCAGATCAACAAGGTCAATGTGAGCTTCAAAGGACTGAGTCAGTTGTGGACAATAACGTCAACTGGGAAGGGGCAAGACAAGGGGTGGAAAGGTGCTCCAGTGACCTGCTGATAGAGCGCTGGTTACAGAGTAAGAGGGTTTGAGTGCGGAGGGGGGGCTGCTCATATACTCTAATTCACTCAACTCCGTCATTCTAACCCCCTCTCAACATGCTGCAAAAGCAGGGGATGATACTTCTTGCTTCCGTCTTGGTTGGTGGGCATTGCTAAGTGGCTTTCACAAGGACAGCTGCAAGTGTTTCCAATTCACCGCGGGGCTTCCCGTATCGACTCTGGATGCCCATTGGTCTTCATAATGCTAGCTCGAGGTGAATCGAGGGAGACTCGGAGGTTAGATGGAGGGAAACGCCACCAGGGACAAGATATCATGGACAGCGGCCGGAGAGGTTGCGAGATAGGATGAAAAAAGCAATTTGGCGGGCCTCGACCTGGGATGTCCCGAATCGGATGTGATCAACACACAGACTCCTGTCGTGATTGGATGAAACACCAACGTCAAGATCAGTTTCCGTCCTGGAAACCCGCCCGATTGGAACCTGAGAATCATATCGAGGGCCTTGTCTGGGCCTCCGGTCGTCTCTGCCGAGTCCCGGCTGATATCTCAGACAATAGAGGAGGCTTGTATTGAACACGGCTGAGCCGACTTTGGTCTCGACTTGAATGTGTCTCAAGTGCTCTCTCTTGAGTGAGAATTTCTCAGTCCCTAGTGTAAGTTGAGGATGGCCAACTTGTATGGAGTCGTGCTGGCCCTTGCTGGGTTCTTACATACGAACCCGAGGCTGGAAAGATTAGATGCCAAGAGTATTGGTTCAACACTGAGAAAATGACGGCCGATGGTCTTCGCGATGCTGGCAGATGATGCAAACAAGGAAGTCTTGTGATGGAGAGGAAAATCGTGGTTTCGTTCCGACTTGACAGGACGCTTGTCTCGTGCCTCGTCCCGTTCTCATGCAGTGATTGCATCGCATTTTTGACTCTGGTTGGTCCAATGTCATGCAGCAGAGAAAAATCTCAGTTGCAGAGACACTCGAGAAGCGTCGAAGTTGACTCTTCACAGTCCCACTCGGGAAGTGATTGCCCAGTCTCTGGACAGGGGGGAAGCTCTCAGCGTAAGCTCGGGCCTGAGCCATCCCTGTCGAAAATCATGAATCTGTTCGGCTCCACAAAGTCTTGTCGTGGGGTTTTGATCCAATCAGAGTTAGAGATCAAACGGCCAGCAAGATCCATCCTCCTGTCTCGAGATCTGAGCTGCCAGTTGTGGCTGAAGTTGATCGCCGACCTCCAAAAATTCCCACCAAGTTTTGAACCGTATTTTGAATTTGCGTGCCTTGGGGAGATTACGGATGAGAAACCACCCCGCTTGTTCGTCCCCATCTCATTAGCACCGCCGGCATCCGTCAGCGCAAATTGACCTGACGAAGATCTCCAGACCAAAGCTTTGGTACGGATGTCGACCCGTCCCTCGCAGCTTCAACCACCTACTTTCCAGAGGAAGCAGGTGGGTGATAGTGGCTGCAGGACTGGAATGTCTGAGCAGCAATTGTATCGAACATCGAGACCCTCTCTCGGCCGCAGCAAAGTCTGTCATTTTTGTATCCAACACTTGCTTTTTTTCGGCTAACTGGACCTTTTGCGAAGTGGGCGGCAGCTTGCCCCTCACCTATTGCCGTTGCTTTTGTAACAGGACCCTTGGAAAATTAGGTCCAGCCATCCGATTGAGGCCTCGATAAAGTCTGCAGAGGCCTCAGGATATCCCTCGAAAACAGACCTTTCTACGTTCAAGCATAATGCTATTGTCCCTCTTCCGTTTGCCTTCTGTGGTCTCACATAGTCACTGAACCCAAAGTAACAGCTTCGTCCTAACCGATGAATAGCAACTAGCATAATGCAGTTGGACGTTGATTGTTCTGGGCAAACGCAATAATTACCCTTACTTGACTTCCGAACCTCTTCTCTAACTGTACGTGGTTAGAGGGCATTCCTTGACAGCTCTGTCTTGCAGCTTCAGTGGCGGACTAGACGCAACGGCCACATATGACAGCTTGGCTCGCTCTTTTGATTCTAGCCTAGGTAATCTATCATATGCTTACAAAAAGCTCACTTTGGCGATCTTTCGGCTGGTCGAGGTCTGGTTTTTGGACTGCCAGGATTCAGAACTTTCCAGAGTCTACTGGCCCGGTCTCTCTCGCTTCCTCGCTTTCTGTTTGCTCTGAGGAGCCTTTTGGATATCAGCTCATTGTCTTACCCGATCAACTTACCTGGGAAATAGAAGGGCAGTCTACCTAGCTATTCAGGCAAGATTGCCAAGCTACCATATATATTTGTAAGAGTCTGTGGTGATATTGCGCTTCAGGTACCATCTTGATGGCAACGGATGATATAACAGACATGGCTACGCAAGACGCAAGGCCGGAAGGTCATGGGTAGTGTATATGTTCTATAGGCCAACAGATGTAAAGGTGGCCGAATCAAGGATACAAACTTCCGGCTCGATTCAGTGGAAAGGGACTCCAATCTGTCTGTGGTCCGCCGACCAGCATCCGGGCCGGAGCCGGGGCCGAGAACGGCAATTGGCGATTGACGTCACCACCACCCCGCATGCCCCGCCCCCCGCCCCCCGCCGCAAAGTCTATCTGCGCGAGACCGACTGATATTTGTAGATTGTGAACCGTAGAATATTACATGAAATACCGTACTATCACTTCGGCTGTGGGATTTGGCGACTTGGTATGGTTGAAATGGTTGTTAGCACAATAGAAAGCTCGCCGGCAGATCCGGTGGGGTTACGTGGTTTCAATATCAAAACTCTCCGATTCCGCCCCGAAGAGGTATGGGAGCACCCGGAGTTCATCTGATGTTTTCCAACATATCCCCTTCAAGAAATTGAGTTGAAGAGTAACATTTCAAACAAAGAGTATGGAAGTGTCAGTCTTCACTCACCTGAAACTCGTGCTCATCTTCCACACCGATTGCGCAATATTTCCCGCGATTTCTCTACCACACAGGCCGGACTTAACGTGTGTGACAGCTGCGCGGGGCAGGGAGGGGTGCATGCCGAAGGCAAGCGGACACCGGCGAGCTCAGTCAATAATAATGCAAACTTCCGTCTCCCGCTATAGCAGCGAGATATAATTTCAAACCATGGCTCATATATAAAAGTTTTGTGTAACCTTAACTGTATCTCTCTCTCTCCCGTCTGAAGATTTGTATCCTCATCTTCTAGAACGTAGCAGAAACAGAGTAGTAACTTGCAACTCCCGTACCCACCATACCAATACCTCGTTCCTACCCCTCCAATTTGATATTCACTCACCCCCACCATCTCCCCCGTTGACCACCACCTCCCCTATTTATTTACCATCCCGAACATCCCAACATCAACCACCACCACTCACCTATCCCATCCCAAATCAAGTTTTCTCCCCACAACACAACCCCCTTTCAACCATCAAAATGTCCGGTCTCAAAGCAGGCGACTCCTTCCCCCCCAACGTAACCTTCACCTACGTCCCCCCCACCGGCGACCTCAACGTCACCGCCTGCGGCATCGGCATCCAATACGACGCCAGCAAAGAATTCGCCTCCAAGAAAGTAGTCCTCGTCGCCGTCCCCGGCGCCTTCACTCCAACCTGCCAGGTCTCCCACGTGACCTCCTACCTCGCCAAGCTGGACGACCTCAAGGCCAAGGGCGTCGACCAGGTCATCTTCATCGCCTCCAACGACCACTGGGTCATGGCCGCTTGGGGCAAGGCGAACGGTGTCAAGGATGATTCTATTGTATGTCTTCCTCCTCGTGACATGAGAGAAAGGGTGTGCTAACCAGGTGAAAATAGCTATTCATGTCCGACGCCGGTCTGGAATTCTCCAAGAGCATCGGCTGGACTCAGGGTGATCGCACGCTGAGATACGCCATCGTTGTTGACCACGGCAAGGTCACCTACGCCGAGGTCGATTCTGTTAGAGGCAGCATCGAGAACACTGGCGCCGAGGGTGTTCTTGCTAAGCTTTAAAGTGGCTGTCCAGCCCAATTATGGAAAAAGGGGACATGGTCGGTTTTATGAACAACACCGCGGGGTTTGAAACTATAGATTTAGAAGGATTCCCACATTCAAATGTTGAGACCCCTTTCGATGTTCCAGGCTGAAGTTTATGACCCTTCGTGAATGAGAGAGTCCCTAAAACAATCATTGCCCATCCGGTGTGGCTCAACCTAAGCTTTGCGGGCCCATAGTCTCATGGTCTTTATGGATCTACCTGTGATGGTACCCAGTTACTCGACATTATAAAAGATTCATGACGGCAAGTATGCTCAACGTTGAGCGACATGCTCCAAGAGTCATCTGGTGCCTCGTCGTAACAAGCCTTTAGTTTGGGAATTTATACATGGCTGGGGGACTGGGGAAACCACTGCCCGTGGTATTCACAAGAGAAACAAAAACACGACACACAGAAAACCACTTCAAATATCCCGCGAAGCGGCCCATGTCAGACCAATGCATAAGTCGGCATTCTGTGAGCTACCCATGCAAATCGTCTTCATACCCGTTACGTAGGAACCCAATCATACAACCGGCCCCGTGGCTTTTTCAGAAAGGAACAAGCTTTTCTTATGACTTGTCCATTCATCAAAAAAAGAGTAAAGAACCCTCCCTGTGGAGAGGTTTGAGAGAGCAGGCATAATGAAAAAACCGAGTACCGACCGACCGACTCCGCGTTTCCCTCCGGTCACAGGCAAGACCGTTTTGTGCGATGGTTGTGAAGATACCATTCGTCTATTCTCCCTTGTTGTGTTTGCCCAAGATAGAATATCATCTTCACCCCAGACCTAAATGCAACCAACCCAGAGATGTAACCCCTTAACGGCTGTGGATGGCAGGCTTGGACTGCGCACCCTTAGCACCCTGCTTGCCGACGATACGGCCCTTGGAGGCGTTGGCAGCAGCCTTGGCCTTCTCAGACTTCTTAGCGGCGGCGGAAGCAGCCTTCTTCTCCTTGGCCTCCTTAATGGCCTGAGCGCGAGCAGCAGAGCGGGCCTCGGGGCGCATGGCGCGGCGCTCCTTGATCACATCGAGGGTAGCACCAACGATGGCACGCTGGGACTTGACGGTGCGGCGAGTACGCTTCTTGGCAACCTCCTGTAATGGGTGTCAGCATGCCGTTGTCTTGCTCGATAGCCATCCTCCATCTACATGTCCTCATCGTCCTGTATTCATATAGAATCCCCGCGAGCTATCCCAGCGTAGGTGGATCGATCGGTGTGTGCTTGTGGAGAGCCGAAGCTTGGAGAGGGAATGGAGGGGTCGTACCTCAGAGATACCCTTCTTGTGTTGTCTGCGGTAGAGGACAGTCCAGGCGATGCGGCGAGGGTTCTTGCGCTGGAGGAAAAGGGACTCGGATTTGCCGTTTTGGAAACGGAAGATCTTACTGTCGCCACGGACGTACAGCTTGCCCTGTTGCAGAGAAAGAGCCAGCGTTAGCCTTTGTGCTTCATATTCCAAGTATTTCCACCTCATTCAAACGGAAAATCGACGATTATCTCCCCCCCAAACTCCTCGTGTCGTCGGTCGCGTCATGGCGTCTGCTCTGTACCCAGCTTGCCAATTATCATGCCATGTCGAGTCGGAGGAGTCTGGGGGAAAGTCGCCATCGTTCGAAATCGCGGGAATCAATCATTTCGTACCTTGCCAGGGTAGATCCGGGCGCCGGAGAAGGTATCCTCGTAGGTGCGCATTTTGGCGGCTGGTTGTCGAAGATTGTCGTTGTCGGGGTTGCTTCCTCTGAGGTTCAAATTCCCAGGTCGATTTTGCCAATTCCGTTGCAGGTTGTGCGGGTAGGGCTGCACTGTGATAGGTTGAGCGCACAGACCAGCAAGACCCGCCTTTTGAATCTTGGCGGGTGACGACCGGTTCTCTTTGTGTGTCTTGGCCTGCAGTGGGGCTCCAACTTGGAGATGTGAAAGCACGACAGCAAGCTGAAGGACCAACTGGTTACGCGTGGAGGGATGTTGAAAGGCTCTCGCTAGGATCTTCATGTATGTCAGCCTCTGCTAGGAATGATTATTTCACATTCAAGCGCTCGGTGCCTGTCTTGTGATGGCCTGCTTCTCAAAGTGTACATTTCAACCCTAACCCCGTTTGGAATTCACCTCACAACACAACTATCATCCTGGATTCTTACCACTGTCATCATGACCCGTGAAATTTCCCATAAGCTGATAAATCCGAGAAAAGGAGATGGCAGTAACAGCAGACGAAGTGGCTAATGTTGTTCTCTCAGAGTTCAAAAAGCTCCCAGCCAAGAGGAAGCCAACTGTCCGTGGCAATGGCCTTCATGAATGGGTGCCCCTGAGCGGCATCGTTGCCAAAGGTTGCTTCATCACATATCTCTTTGTGGTTATACCAGATATCTGATTCTCATGTCTTTGCTCAAGGCCCAGCGTTTCTGAAATGTGTAGCCCTGGCGTAAGCTCTCTACTTTGGCCCCGAATCGTACCCTTGCCTCACTAACACGGACCCAGAACCGGCATGAAATGCCTCCCAGCTTCCAAGCTCCCCCAAGCCAACGGCGTAGCCATTCACGATTGGCACGCTGAGGTCCTCGCTCTCCGCGCGTTCAACCGCTTCATCCTCGATGAGTGCAAACGCCTCACTCTAGACAGTACCTTCACATCAGACTTCCTCTGCCGGACCTCCTCTTCATCACTCCCACCATTCATTTGGTGCCCAGACGTATCCCTCCACATGTACTGCTCCGAAGCACCGTGTCCGTTCCCCCTGTCCCCTTCACCGTCTCAACTAACAACCCAAACCTAGGCGGCGATAGCTCCATGGAACTAATTATGGCCTCCCAACCCGACTCAACCCCCTGGTCATCACCAATCCTCTTTTCCGAACAACCAGACGGTCAACTCCTCGGAAGAGGCTACTTCTCCCACCTAGGCATCGTCCGCCGCAAACCCTCCCGCCCGGACGCACCCCCCACTAACTCCAAATCCTGCTCCGACAAAATCGCCCTCAAGCAATGCACCTCACTCCTATCCTCCCTCACCTCCCTCCTCATCTCCCCCAAGAACGTCTACTTGACTTCCTTAGTCCTCTCAGAGTCGCAATACTCAGAGACGGGCTGTACAAGATGTTACGGCTTCGACTTTGACTCCTCCCCGCCGGGAAGGATGTCCTGCCTTACAACCAAACCCCCGACCTGGGCTGACGGTTACAAGACGTCACCATTCAAAATTGAGACAACTCAACATGAGTTTGACTACTCCAAGCGGACGGTGACGGCAAGAAGTGACAAGATCTCACCCTCCAATCTGGCTGTTTGTTGGACTTACAACAAGGAGGTGGAAGAGGGGATAATAGGAGGAGTACTTCAGGGCCGGAAAGCATTTGATATCAAGGGTGCGAGTGCGGTCTCCCGCATGAAGATGTGGCGTTTGGCTGTGGAGGTGGCGGAGGGTCTTCATGGCCCGGAAGGGGAGCTCCTCAAAGAGCTGAAAAGAGGGACGTATGATGAGGTAAAAGAGGAAAGTGTGTTGTTGCAATCTAGGAGGAAGGTCAAGGAGGAGGTCAGAGGGGAAGCTTTGAAGGGCTGGGTGAGGAACACAGGGGACGGCGGGTTTCGCCTATAATCTTAAGAGAACTTACGCAGAGTCCCAGTTCGTCAACTTCAGGCGAGATACTATTGCGTGTCCCAGTCTAGCTAAGTGAGCTACTCCATGGCATACTATTAAACACGGTACCACCATCACTTCACCTTATTGCTTTACACAGTCCCATTGTTTCTGCCGTATTGGAACTCGAGTGTTTGGGGGGACCGTCAAATGTCCATTTCTTTGATTTTATCCCTCCCTTGGCCGAAACTTTCTTTGAGTTTGGGGCCTGAATGCAACGAAGAACCGTAGACGCCGCCATCCATTATCGCAAGCGCAAAATCACTTCCCTATTCCTCATCATAAACCTGGGGTGGGGACAAGGCAGGATGACCAGAATTTCGTAGTAAGGTTTTAAGATTTTGGTATCGACAACATCTTACTCGACCTTGTTCTCGAAGTTCTCGCCAGCAACGAGGTCGGGGATATCATCCTCCTCGTCAGCCTTCTCGCCCTTCTGCAGGTTCTGGTAGCTCTCGGCGAGCTTGCGGAGGGAGGCGAGAGAGTCGGGGCCGAGCTGGTTAAGGATCCCGGGAACGAGCTCAGTCAGCTCCTTGTCCTCACCGTTACCGTAGATGGCGAAGGTGTTAGCGGGGACGGCGGCATGAACTATTGCCAGTTAGTACCTCATATCCCTTCCCATTATCTGGTATCGGAGTGACGAACCCTTGGGAGCGGCGAAGTGGATGACGTTGCCGTCGCTCTTGAACATGTTCACCTCCTCAATGGCCTGGATGGGCTGGACATTGAGCTTCTTGAGGGAAGCCTGGAGCTTCTTGTCATCACCGGCGGAGCGGGCAGGCGCACGCTTGACCTTTCTCCGGGGAGTACCCTTGCCACTATTCGTCACAGATACATGTCAGAATCGAGTTCGTCATCGTTGTTGTTGTCGTCGACAGAATGGAAGAATTTGCATCTAAACATACCCTGTCAAGGAAAGGTGGGTTAGCCGATCGGTCCAAGTGCGGGGTGACAACTCATTTTGACAATGAGGGAGGGACGGAGGGACAATCCAACATACCGATACGAGCGGAAGCACCGAGCTTCTTGAGGCGTTCCTGAACATCCGCCATGTTGTCTATCGAGAAAAGTGGTGGTGGAGAAAACGAGAGATGGTCAGAAGAGACTCGGTGATGTCGAGCTATAATTGATCCAGTCAGTCTGGGCAAGGGTTTTGGGGTTGGGCGGCACACAAAAGCTGCAGAGATGCACCCTGACAGTCCTCTAGCACCGCCATTCTGGGCGATTTTCCACTCGAAAATCAGCCAGGAGAACGTACTCTTTCAATCGATGATTTTCGGGTCCGTGGAATCTCCGGGGGTATTGTGACAAGCTCGCAAAGTCTCTATCCTCGTAGCGGCGTCGGTGGTTGGAGAAATTGTGTGCGCCAGGCCCTGCCCGAATTTTTCGCTCCCGCAATAACTTTTACCCCACTTCTGAGCTTATTGACCTGACCCTCACCACCCGCTGACCGAGCCGAAGCGTTGCAAGAGCAAGTTCGGATGATGAGACACGATCACCAGCCACTGGCAGACATTTCAAAATTCATGAGAAGAGCTGTGTATGTAATACTACGAATAGCCAATACCCGCGAGTCAATGTAATAATTTGCGCCGAATGTGAGATACCAGAAAACTAACTGCCCAGACGCCTCTCCATGCAATACCCTTTCTATACATATACAAGTACTATACAAGGACCATCCTTTTGGCCACAGCTGAGGTGAGCTTGTTGCGTGTGTTTTACTTGCCTTGCTTGCCCGAATCCACTGGCAGTCCTGCCTCTTTTCTCATGGCCTCTCTTCTTGCCTTGACTTCCTCGGCAAGTCTCAAACTTTCAGCGAGCTTCTGCTGTCTAGCCATGTTGGTGGCACTGGCCTTCTCTTCCTCCGCTTGAAGAATCCAGACTACAGAACACACCATATGAGCTTTCTACCTGCACACGGAGAAATGAGCCATTGCTTACTCGGCTTATCGGATTTCGCCTGCTCCTTCAGCTTGACCACAAAGTCGTCAAACTCCTTCTCACGTTCATACCTCCTCTCCAAGCTGCGCTTTTGAAGCTCCGGGTTGTACTTCTGGAAGAGCTCTTCGTCTGTCGGTTGAAGATATCTAACAAGAGCTGGACCACCCCAAATAACACCCCCTCCGCTATTAAAGCTTGTCAGTCGTCTTCTACTTTTACGAAGGTAAGTAATAGCTTACGCCACAAGCATTTTGGTCCATAGCCACCAGTTGACCTTGCCCATCTTGAAGGTTGAATCAAAAAGCTTCGCGGAATAGTGGCTCAAGAGTCTAAATGTGCAAGAAACAATGGTAAAAACCGTATATATTGACGGGGAAAGTGACGTTGACGACCTCGACTTATAAGATTCAATATGAGACGCTTGGAGGCTCTCTATGATGCTGGCTCATGGATGAGGTCAATCCAAGGCGGCAAGAAGTGGCAGAATTGTTTCTCTGAAGCTCGGACCAGCTGTTCTGTCTTTGGAGTCTTGGCAAAGAAGTTCGGTGGTCAGTAGACGCCAGCTGCCCACTTTTCTTTCAACTCACTCAACATGAGATCTTCAACCCTTCACTCATCCACGGAGGCAACCGGGCGACCGATCGTTGCGGCTGACGGAGGGTAGCAGCAGGCCAAATGGGGCCGGGACGACCGCGGCAACTCCCTTCTCTCCTGCAGAAGAGGCACAGCCAACCCCAGGGCGGCTTTGGGTCCTAATTCGTCCAACCAAAGTCTTGTAAGTCTTGTGTTGATTGCCCCTTTGGAGACCCGAAGTCCAATTACAAGCTCGAGCTCAACATGTCTCCTTTCATTCAATGGCACAAATGACAAGCATTGGCCACGAGGCATCTTCGCTGTACTCGATCATCGTCAAGAGCCTTCGAATAATGGCGCTAAACCTTTGCCTTACCTAGGTGAGCGAACCTTACAAGGTAGCACGGATGTTACCAAAGCTTGCTGATGACAAGCTCAACAGCTTCTGAAACACCTACCCCGGCACCTTTAAAAACAATCTCGGATGTCAGGCGGAGAAGACAAGGAACTTTGCGTTCTCGAAGCCTCAACGCCATGCCGGAGAATGTGTTGTTGATGTCTTGGGCCCAGGCTTAGAATGTCGATGTCGTCACTGGTCACGGGCGAGGGTCGAATTCATGTACGGCGGTTGATATCATCCTATCCAGTGAGCCAGTCAAGCAGTAGAAGATCCGAGCCAAAGAAGTTCCACAGGTTCTCCTGCGGTGTACTTAATCTCATTGCTGTGCTCCTTAGTGATGTGGCCAGTGGGCCTGGCAACATGCTCGCCACTCTGACAACTTAGCCGCCGCAGAGTGTTATGTGTTACGATAACATTCGACAACACATTGACAGATCTACGGCCAGACTATGCAAAGGCGCAGAATACTCCGTAGGAAAATTAACCCGACTCCGCGTCTGGAGTTCAAAACATTGACCTGGTTATCGAGCAGCAGAGCCATACATAATACCATGTTTATAAGAGTAGTTGATGGGTTCGATACATGTACCTCGCCGTTCTCCTGCTTAATACTTGATTGCTTTGCCTGCACACAGAGTTGCAACCAACCTCACCACTCAAGAAATAGCACTGTTCTCAATCAACTTGGCGACAAGCATCGCTGTTTCATAGTTTCCTCATCTCAGCACAGGAGCTCAGCGAGGTGGAAAATGCCCTGGTGGCGGACCTTAGCGGGGTCCTCTAATGCCGGGATCAAGCGAACGGGTCTGGAGAATGGGCGCCGTTAGAATGGGGCTTCTCTCCGGATACTTTCATCCCGCCGTTGAGATCTCAGCGCTCAGCCTCTTCTCGCGGTCGCTGGTCGAGATGACCTGAGATTGTAAAGGGTAGGTAGACAACAACATGGTGAGGAGGACACACTGCCGTTGATTTGCTGTGGTCCGACTGTCCGAGACCCCTAATGAATGCATACAGAACCTGTCACAGCGTAACAGCCTTCGGCCCCGCCTTTTTGACGACCCGGGCGTCACCTTTACCACTTACAGCGTGGTAAGGAGGGGCTCCTGTCGCGGCAAAGACGGCTTATTGCGACCTCGACTGGGTCACAATGCATTCCTCCCTGCCCATCTTTGCCTCATCGTTTTCCGCAGGCCCAGGTCTCCAAAAATTTTGACTGCTGTCATCCTGAGAGCGTTTGAACATATATTTTTCCATATTTACAAACAGTCGCCTGGCTCCGCTTTGTAGCCATTCCACTCCTTGACGAGCGCCACTTCAAGAGTTCACCCTTCCTTCATCTCTGCTCCTTTTTTACGACCTCCAGCCCGATTCCACCTTGCAACAACTTGGGCGAATAGCACGACAGTCTCCTCCGAGTTTCTTTGCCTACGAGCCCTGGTCTGAACTCGCGATCTGATTTAGTGAGGCCGCCGACATCTGTCACCCCGCCCCCGAACGAGCGCTCAAGCGGGCCGAACTCGACTCAAGCCCTCCTACTAAAATTAATTACTCGCCATATCTTTGTTGCCGTCGACTTCAGACCTGCGTAGAAGTGGCACTGCCAGCTCGCTAGCAGTTAATATCGACATAATTTTACCGACGCCATACTATGATCGCCGCGCAGAATTATTGAGGATCAAAATCTCAAGGGTCTTGGTCTGGCTCTAAGCCGAGCAATAGAAAGACGGACAAACGAGCGCCAGCACAGCACGGCATAAAGGCAGGCCCTCGGCGTGTGTCCAAGCATGGCCTATAACAGCCAGTATGGAGGAGGACCTGGAGGAGGGTATGGTGGAGGACCTGGGCAGCAACGACCGCCGCCGCAAAGACAATATCCGCCCGGGCCTGGAGGACCACAGCAGTACAATGGGCCTCCTCCACCACAGCAGCAGCAGTACAATGGGCCGCCTCCTCAGCAACAACAGCAGTATGATCAGTATCAAGAGGGCTATGACTATGGCTACGACGACTATGGGAACGGAAACGGTTATAACCAGGGCTATGATGGTCAATACAACGATAATTACGGACGAGGAGGACCTCCACCGAACCAAGGCTACCCGCAGCAAGATTATTACGACCCAGGACCGAATGGATCCCCGGGTCCTAACGGACCTAATGGTTATGGAAGGGGCGGACCACCAATGCGAGGCGGAAGAGGCGGACCTATGAGACCTGCCCCAGGCGGCGGCCGAGGAGGCCCCTATCCTCCTCGTGGAGGTGGATATGGTCCTGGTCCGGGAGGCCCTGGGAGAGGTTATCCCCCTCAAGGACGTCCTGGCCCGCTTGAAAGGGGTCCCAATTCAGACCTAACTGGTAAGTTGAGGATCAAGTGTTAACCAATGTGCTGGATTTGGCACTTGCTAACAAGGCTCAAGCAAACCGGGGACCACCAGTGAATCCAGGAGGAAGCAACGGACCCTTTCCCGCATTCCCAGGAGCTCACGCAAAATCAGATCTCGCTCAGGAACAGGAAATTGTGGCTCAAATGGAGGGCGTCAATCTGTCTGGAGGATCAAGAGCAGGACCACGGGGTCCAAGTGGTTCCGGTCCACAACGAGGACCTGGACCGATGCGCCCCCCCAATGGGTATGGAGGACCTTTGAGTCCCCCTCGAGGACCCCCGCAACCACATCGTGGTCAGGAGTACCCCGATCAACGGCGTGGACCTCCTCCTGGACCCCCCGGGCCTCTTGGACCTGGTTATGGACAGCAGCCCGGTGGATACGGAGACGAAAACTTTGGGCCTCCAGGACGCAGCATGACAATGCCAGCAAGAGAACCAATGGATATGCGCCATCCAGGACCTCCTCCACGGCGTGATAGTGCTCCTTATAACGGGCCGATTGGACCCGGTGGACGTGGGGGTGGTATGCCACAGAGACCGAGCACTGCGCAAAGCATGCGCGCACCACGAGGTTATCCTCCCGTCGACGCCCCTCCTTTACCTCAGAACAATTTCCAAGATGCTCAGTACAGGAATCCTCCCGATTCGGGTTATGGAGGCCCAGGTCCAGGTCAGGGTCAGGGTCAGGACCGTCCTGCGTCTGTCGATGACTTTTACGATTATTATGGCACCAATGAAGAGTATCCGGCTCAGAACCCACCATCAGCATCGGCTCGATCAGAACTCCCAGACTTTGAATCCATACGCCAACAACCGCCAAGGAACTCGTTCGATCAGCACATGCAGCATGGACTACCAGAGCAGCCTCGAAACGGGCCGGGTCGACAGCCTGAGGTTAGCAGAGCCAAATCTCAGCCTGATCTGCGTAACTCGCAAACTGCTGTGTTCGAAATGGCGGGCGATATCCCTCCTCTCCCTACACAAAGACAACCACCGCAGCAGCTAGGCCCACATCAACAAGGCTCGTTCGATGGGCCCCCGAACTTCTCACGAGGTCCTGGTCCAACACAAACCGGATCACCTGGGCCTGGCCACCTACCACCTGGTCCAACTCCATACAGGCCAGGACAGTCGCCTCTTACACAAACTGGCAACAGTAGTGACAGTCTACCTTCGCATCCTGCACCCGTCCGTCCTGGGCATATGGCTGGATCTATGGTGAATTTGGGTGACCGTCCTCCACCAGTAAGGAATTATAGTGGGGTAAACAACAACAACGGTATACCACCATATGGAGGCAACACGCCCACACCGCCTGCAGGAGGTTATCCTCCCCAGCAACCTCAGGGTCAGTTTGGCGGTAACCAAACACCTGCTCAGCCAGCTGGTAACCCACCTCCAGCAAAGCCCGTGGAGGAGCCCGTGACAGTACAAGAACTTGAACACCTTCGAGCAGTGATCAAGAACGATGCAAACGATCAAGCATCGGCTCTTCGTCTCGCCAAACGTCTGGTGGAAGCGTCGGACGTGCTTGTCCCCAACCTCCCAGACCCCAAGGCTCGCGCCCGATCACGCGAAAGATTCCTAGTTGATGCCAATAAGATTCTTCGCAAACTCGAGAAAGCCAACAACCCCGAAGCGATGTTTTTCTTGGCCGACTGTCTTGGCCGTGGTCTGTTTGGCAGCGAGCCGGATAATGCTCACGCTTTCTCGCTCTACCAGTCAGCAGCCAAACTCGGCCATGCAGCAGCAGCCTACCGCACGGCCGTGTGCTGCGAGATTGGCAACGACGAAGGAGGTGGCACCCGCAAGGACCCAGTCAAGGCCTTCCAGTGGTACAAGCGTGCAGCTACTCTGGGTGACACCCCAGCCATGTACAAGGTCGGCATGATCCTGCTCAAGGGACTGCTTGGTCAACCGCGCAATCCTCGCGAGGCAATCAGCTGGCTTAAGCGCGCTGCTGAGAGAGCCGACGCCGAGAACCCGCATGCACTTCACGAACTGGCGCTGCTTTATGAGAGCGCGGAGCCGAATGATGTGATTATTCGGGATGAGGCATATGCTTTCCAGCTGTTCAAACAAGCGGCAGAGCTGGGTTACAAGTTCAGTCAGTTTAGATTGGGGTGCTGTTACGAGTATGGGTTGTTGGGGTGCCCGATTGATCCGCGGATGTCGATAATGTGGTATTCGCGTGCGGCGATGCAGGAGGAGCACCAGAGCGAGCTGTGCTTGTCGGGATGGTATCTTACTGGAAGCGAGGGGGTGCTGCAGCAGAGCGATACTGAGGCGTACCTGTGGGCGAGGAAGGCGGCGATGGCGGGGCTGGCCAAGGCAGAGTATGCGATGGGGTACTTCACCGAGGTGGGGATCGGTGTTCAGGCCAATATGGAGGATGCGAAAAGATGGTACTGGAGGGCTGCTGGTAAGCTCTCCGATCTCTTGGAACTAAACCGACGGTGTGCTAACAATGAGAACAGCTCAGGATTTCCCCAAGGCGAGGCAACGGTTGGAGGATCTGAAGAGGTCAGGCAAGAATAGTCAACCGAGGGCGAGAGAGAGGATATCGAGAAGTAAGGTTGGGAAGCAGCAGGAGGGGGAGTGCTTGGTGATGTAGATGGGGATAATGCAATAGCACGGGTTTGCTTTGCAACATTGAATGGTAGTTAGGAGGGATCCGCTGAAGAGCAAATCCTATTCTTGGTTTGTTAAGAGGGACTTGACATTGGGTTTGGCATAAGGATTAATGGATGCTGAGCATATGGGCGAGAAAATGATGTGTAATTCAGACCAAGAATAATGGCATGATGGACAGGATAGTTTGTTCGGAGTGAATGGTGATGATCAAACCCGTGCTGTGTATGATTTAGCATGCCTGAAGTCTACCTACATATGTGAAGCTTTTCTAGGACCTACCTTTCTTGGAGGTGAATCGAATTTTTGGAGTCTCGATTTGAGTTGTCCACGGCCTATTGTCAAGATCAGCGTCGCCATGGTAACGAAAGCCCCCTTTTCCCATTTGAAAACCAAACCCATCCATCTACTCGAGTCCACGCAAAACATGCAAAGCAGCGACAGTACACGAAGTAAAGAACAAAGTCAAAACCATAAATAATATATTGTAAACCACGCGAGAATTCACAGTCTGACGTTGTGCCCTCCACCCCTGCCTGTGCAAAATCCCATGATACCTTATCTATTCCCCATCCGCCAAATCCCATCCGCAAAGTAAGAACCTCTGGGGTATCTCCATCTATTTTTTTTTGCTGTCTCTTCCCTTGTTCTTTTACGCCTTGATGTCCTGTGAAAAAGGAAAATCCCATACCATACCCAGCACCAAGCTCCAATTACCAGACCCAGCACCAACCCCCAAGACCAAACCAAAAACGCCAGCCATGCTATCCTGCTGCCCCCAAGTCCGATTAGCCAGCGATGAGGCGGTAGCCAAATTCCTCCTCCCAGGGTTAAAAAGAAAAACCTAGCGCCGCGTCGGGCTTTCTTTTGTGAGGAAAAAAAGGCAAGATTGCTAATGGTTAGAAGACCGAAAAGAAAAAGAAAAACCGAGGGTGAGACGAAAAGAAAAAGCGACGAAAGGGAAGTTTGACTGTAAACTGTTTTCTTTTGTCGGATGTTTACACCACCATTGCAATATGTCTGATATATTGTCGAGTCCATGACCTCCCCCCCACATATCACGAGTCTATCAAGCATCAGCCCCAGAAGAAGAAGGCCCCCCTTTATTAGCAGAAGCAGCAGCAGCAGAGCGCTTCCTCTCTGCTTTGCTCTTCGCGTGCGCCTGTCTCTTCTTTTGGTTCCTGACGTTGGCGTCGCCGACGGGGGTGGCGGGGCGGGAGTTGGGCTTTGAACCAACTGGGGTCGGCAACTGCTGCTGCTGCTCTTGTGGCTGAGAAGAAGAAGGTCCGGCTTCAGTGTCGGCTCTGGTCTTGTTCTTCTTTTTGTGCTTGTTCTTGCTGCTGGACTTTGGCTTGGGGGCCTCTGGTTTGGAGTCGCTGGGCTCTGAGGTCTCCAAGTTGGATACAGAGGTCTCGGGCTGGAGGGGTGCTGTGCTCTTGCCCTTATCCAGCTTTGGGGTTTCCACAGGTACCTCCAGGACGGGAGCAGCTGCTGTGAGCTTCAGACTTGGGTGGGCAGGCAATGTGCGCGAGGATGGTTGGCTGGTCTTGGTTGGAGTCTCTGGGGGCGAGACAAACAGCTCGTCCTTGGCTGCTTCGGGAGGACTGTTCTCTCTAGAAGAGAACGTGCTCTTTGCGGTGTAGAAACTTTGGGCAAGGGATGAGTCTGAGATCCCGCGGTTTGGACCATTGAGCAACCCGTTGATAGTCGGATGGGAAGCCATCTCCTCGTTTGGGGTTGTCTTGGCCGGTGTCATCACAATCTTGGGCGGAGACGTTGATAGATCGGGGTAGTTGGGGAATAAGTCGCACGCCCGTGGGAGGACCGGGCAGTCAGGGATGCTGCTTAGGGAGTCGAACCGCTGAAATCGAGCCTGTTTCGAGTTGTTGCCCTTGAGGACAGGGCCCGTGGAGGGTCCCTCTTGAGGTGATCCAGTTCTCAGAGGTGGAGGTAACATCTGGTCTGCTAGGTGGTTGACACGGATAGCTGGGCCTCTGGGGTTCCATGACAGCTTGAGCGATCCACCTGCATCTGCGCGGTATCCTTTGGGCTCTGGGACCTTAAGTGCAGCATTTTCCGTGACTGATTCGGGTCGCTCAGTCGAAGCCGAAGCTTGAGCCCTGGAGCTCTCAGCCTGGCTCGAGGAAAAGTCGACAGGTGTCGATGGTCGCGAACTTGGGCGGGCACCGGGCTTCCTCTTATTTTTACCCTTCTTGGATCCTGAAGGTTGCCGCTGCTCGGCCGGAGTTGCACTTCGACTATCCACAGCCAACCACTCTGCGGGAAGGGCCTGGTGTTGATTCCGCCTATTTGGGCGGATCCTCGCTGTGCCGGACATATCCTGGCTGAAGCGCACATCATGGATGGAGAACTGCGCATGCCGTACCACCGTGCCTCCTTGGTCCGAGCTCTCCCCTTCTTGGACAGGCTTTTCCAGTGTGCCAGCAACGCGCCCATCTCCCTGTGTTGAAACAGTATCAATAGGGGTGGATGGCTCATCCGGAGAAGTGCCAGCTTTCACGGGCCTCCCCTTGTTGGTGTGCTCCGCTGCAGCAGCCTTGTCAACTACAACCCAAACTTGTGATATAGCATGGGTGGTGTGCGCGCTGCTCGATGAGCTTGAGTGTGACAATGGTTGTGACCCGACCATGTCTTGCTCGGGAGACTGTCTAGTTCGTGCCTGAGGGCTCCGCATCTGGGGATCCACCGGACATTGTGCATTTCCGTGAGGGCCTCCCTGATTGTAGAACACAGGTGGTGCTTGATACGGCGGTTGTGGTATTGGACCGACGAAGTTAGCAGGGTCAAAAAACGGCGGCAGATGCGGGGGCGGAGGAGGTGGAAGAGGGTGGGCATGTTGCCAATGAGGTGGCCCATGGTGCCACTGCGGTGGACCGTGTTGTTGAAAGCTTTGGTTGAAGTGATGAGCTGGGGGGAGGTTGCCGTGATTCTGAGGCTTCTCAGGGATTTCGGCCATCTGGTGGTGAAAAGGAACACAGGGCTGCCGGTGGGCAGGACCGTGATAGTCCAGGTTATACTCGGTAGCTCCAACGGGATGCGGCTGCATGCGAGGAGGCGATGGTTGCAGGCCAGCTTGAGGCTGGGAGATAGGAGGAAATCCCGGAGGAGGTCCACGCATGTATTCTGGGGAAATACTTGGTTGTCCCACCTTCTTTCTCCCAGAAGGAGAGCCGAGTGACGATGTGCCACCATGCTGCTGTTGCGCGGTGCCTCTGTTCAAGAAGCCCTGATCGGGGGGAGACCGTCGCCTGGACGGAGGAGTTACGCGTGGAGTCTCACGTGTAGCCTTTTGGGGAGTTCTGGTATATGGCCTCGGAGCCCAGTATTTTGAGTACCAGGGATGCTCGAGACGCATACTTGAGCTCAGTGGGGAGAGAGGCAACCCATCTGCAGAGGCCACAGCCGCAACAGCGCTGCTCTCAAGGGAATATCTACGAGAGTGTCAGTATCTGATAGTACAGTAGATTCCAGAGTCAGATGAACGTTAACATACCGGATGAGAGCGTAACAACTACCTGTTTTGGCAGTAGTTTTGATGTCGCACTGCTGAATCACGCCATAACGGGAAAAGTATTCCTGAAAGCGAGAAACCTTCTCGCATTGGGTCATTCCTGGAAAGTGATCAATCTGTTTGACCAGAACAGTGCGTGACAGTGTGCTGCAGCGGCCGCAAGGGCAAGCTACAAAATGACCCGCCGACATTTTCCCTGAATAAATACCAGGAGACTTATCCCGGTTGTAGCACTTCGCATAGGTCGAATCTGAGATTGGCCTTGTTGAGATAGGATTGGGAAAGTTCTTCCTGCCCTTGTTCCTGGAAGAGTAGGCCCTCTGAGGTATATTGGGGTCTGCAGTCGCTGATTGCTGTTCTTGTCTGTCGACAGTTTCCTCTAGGGAACGCTCAGGAATACGTGATGGGCCCGAGGCCTCGGTGCCAACTGTGATGGCATCCCCGTCCCCAGCTGGCTTGGTAGCATTGTCGGGCTTTGCTTCCTCTGATGTAGCGTGGTTCTCAACAACAATGCTGTGAGGCGCCGGCATGGTGCCATTGACAACAATCGGGTAGCCCTTTGGCAAAGAGTGGTAAGCTGGCACAGAGGGAGGAGCGGGCACAGAGGGGGAAGCTGGCGCAGGCTTGAAGCTCAGAACAGGCTTAGAGAACGCTACGGGCTGAGAGTAAGCACCAGTCGTCTTGTTGTGAACAGGCATGTAATCCTCCTGCTTGATGCTGGGCTGAGTCGTAGACAGTACCGTTGGGAGGGGATGCTGCAAAGTGTCACTGGGTGCAGCAAGCGGCTTGTCATAAGGTGTGACTGGACAACACATTAGCATGGACAATCCAGTAAAATAAGAATAACGTACCAAATCGTTTTCGGGGCTCTGTAAGAGAATCCTCCTTCGCATACTTCCCGCCAAGGTGATGCCATTGATCTGGAGGAAAGAATGCGGCGGGGTTCTCATATCGCTCACGCCAGTGTCCATGCCAGTAAGTGAGCTCATCACTCAGAAAGGCTGCCTGGGTTTGGTTTAAGCCTTCGATCCCGCCTTCTTTCCAGTCCGTCGGTGAGAATAGTTGCAGAATGTCGTATGAACCATCCCACTCGATGAGCATGAGCCGGTTCTCGGCGTATGAGATCCAACCTTCAACAAAATCGCCAATCATGGAGAGCTGGTAGGGTTGCAGGGGAAAACGATGACCCAGGTTCTGCATCGCCCGCATCTGTTGGCGGTAGCACTCCATTTTCTCGTTCTGGTATCCGAGTTCATCAATGACACACCAGAGGTTCCAAGCACCTTGAAGCCAAAGGTCATGAGCGTCATAGTACCTGTACAGATCCTCCCAAGAGGTTGGACGAATGACGCTGTCTGCCAGAGCAGGGTGCTGAGCCCGAATCGTGCGTGCCTCCTTCTCAATTTTGGCTTGATTCCAAGACTCGATATCGCGCTTGGGGATAGACAGAGGGTCGCTGTAGAAACGCGGGGCCTTCCCTGTTTTGTTGACCGAGATAACACAGGGGGAGTTGCGAGGCATCTTGAAATAGTAACTCATGAGAGGAGTGGGAAGCGGGGTGCCATTAGAAGCCATGGCAACGACAGAGGGGGTCTGCCTATCGTTGCTCGAAATCTGAAAGCTAACCATTCTGCCCTTTGGGAGAGTAGCCATGTTTCAAGACTGCAAGTTTCGCGGACCTGTGATAGATCCTAGTTCCCTGAATCAAGCCTGATTTGAGAGCGATAAATGTCACGGTCGGTGACTTGATTCCGATGAAGGGGAAGAGAGTATCGTAGCTCTGCTGTTCGGTATTTCGGTGTACTTGGAAGCAACTGAAGTCGCGACGGCTATTTCTTGTTTGTGATGTTGCTCAGCGAAAATGGCGACCAAAATTGGTTTTCTGGAGTCGAAGCTCGGCCTCGTCGAATGTGAAGCAAAAGTCCCAGAAACTTCAAGATGAATGAAATCTTCCCTGGCCGCTGGCGAGAAGAGGAAATAGTCGAAGAGTGGTTACTCGTGGTCGTGTAGAACTTGTAATGGCCAAGCAGGTAGCCTGGAGAAGTCTGCAAAGACTGCCAAAACTTCACGAAGGTCGACTTTTTGGGGCAAATCTCGCAAGCAAGATCGAGAATTGGCAAAAGCCAAAAGGCGGAAAACAATAAACCCACCCGTGAAAGTATAGAATGTGGTGCGGAAGGTGATGAGAGAAGAAAAGGCTGCGGGATGGACAATGAAAAAAGGTTATCTGTGAGAAGGTTATGTGGAAAAAGGTTATGTGGAAGAGGGTTGTGTGGAAAGGATTGTGCGGGCAAAAAGGTTGCGTAGAAGAAGAGGTCGCCGTAGGGCAAGTGTTGGTTGTTGAGTGCAAAGGTCATGGCGAGCAAAAATAGTCAGGTGTGTGGCCTACTTTTGTTGAGAAAGTGAATTGTCTCTCAGGTGATGCAGGCAATACCAAATCCTGTCGTAGAAATCTCGAGGCTTGCTGGTGAGCTCGACTTGAATGAGGGACTCTGCCAGAAGCAACCCAGGAGCGTTGCCCCGCCTACCTCTTCACCCAAGCACCCCTATTCACTTCTTCCGCACTCCATTGTCGACCTTTGGTGGTGCCTTTACAATAGACATTTAACTTTTCCTCCTCAATACACTGTGCTGAGGCCATACTCTCTCTACCTGTCACATGAAAAATCAACTTTGTATATGAACAACAACAACAACAACAACACGAGGTCTTAAAGAGAACACAGTACTAATTCATCACGTACATGCCTAACAGTACCAGTATCCTTCGCTAACATACAGGGAGGGGAGAAGATGAATCTTTGATATCAAAACAAAAAGAGAGATAGAAAGGGGCTTGGCAAGATGCCACTCTATTTCTTGGGGAGAGCGTTGAGCATCTTCAGGATCTCAGACTCGTTTTCTCCTACGTGAGCCTTGCCATTGGCCCAGTCGACAACCTTCATCGAGCAACAAGTTAGCATCCCCCCATTGATACAAAGTACAAGGGAGACATACCAGAGGTTTTTGGAAGTTGTCAGCGCTCTGCTTGAACTTCTGAAGCGCCTCATTCTCACTGGTGGCGCCCTTGATAACCGAGGAAATGCCGGGTTGGCCGACATAGTCGAGAATGGTTTTGACTTGATCGAGAGTAGGAGGCTGCTCAGTGACCTCGAGATCGAACTCAGGCCTCAGATCCTTTTCAGCTGCCTCGACCTGGACTTGCTTGAGCAAAGCAGCCACTCGTTTCGAGCCTGGCGAGCTAGCCTTGTGGAAAAGGGTGATGATATCTTTGGTCTTGCGCTGTAAGTGAGGATGAGTCAATAATTGGTCATGTTTAAGGATGGGTTTAGGGGATGTACTGACGAAGAAACCCATTTTGTCTTCACTTGATGTTTTGAGGCTCAAAATGGTGTGTCTGGGCTTATGTTGGTCTGGTTGCTTTGTTTGCACTGTGGTTGGATGTCGTTGTTGACTGCAAGGAAGTCCGCAGCAGGCAAACACCGTGAGCGTCTTAGGAGCTTGGGCCACTTACCTCAAGCGGGGAGCTCTAACCAATCGGAGATCACGATGCTGCAGCTTCCATCCTTGTTCCGCTCCAATTCTTTGCCAAGCCGCGAGCATCTCCGTTGTCTCGGCCCTAAAACCATCGGCTCCGATCTGGGATATCCTCCTTGTACACAGCACAAAAGCGCTCTCTCCGAGCTGATAATAGCAACAAGTTGGGCACATTGTCTATCGCCTGCCTTTCTGTGGCATTTTCATGATCGGGATCACTCACTGTATGCCTATCATGTATAGTAGGGAAGTGTGTTGTGCTATGCCCCACTGTTTCCTCTTCTTTTGTGGGTTTCTATGACGTATGCGCTCACCACGCCAACCTTTCCAGTAGATCCAGTGAGCTCATGCCCGTAGATGGGTCCAAAAAAAGCCGTTGCTGCGCTTGTGTGAGGCCATGACGTTAAAGAGTAACTGACGATCTACAAAGGCCTGTTGTGTGATCATGTATATATTCAAGGGACGGGACAGCTCTGTGGGCTGACGCAACTTCAACTCATGTTCAACCCAACCTCACCCAAACAACCGTCCTTCTTACTACTTATTCTCACACCAAAGCAATCAAATATCTCATCATGTCAGGAAACTCCAACGTCGGGAACAGCCAGGTTTATGAGGCCGGCGACCAGAGAAACGCCAAGTCCTCTGAGCTTGAATCAGACCGATTCCACGAAGGCGTCAAGCACTCTCACAACAACAATGATCCCAGTACGAATCCTCCAGCATCGTCGTTTCCTAAATCCTAAAGTACTAACAACTCTACCTTATCCAGAGGATAACCGGTCTCTTGTCAACCGTGCTGCCGCTGAGCGACAGGATGAGGGCTCAGAAGACTCTGTAGAGACAGCCCAACTCAAGAAGGACCCCACACTCCCTGTATGTTCCCGTCATCATGCTCGATTATCTTATCAGATGGGCTAACATCATGTTTGATAGGCCAAGATGCACGGTAACGAGCCATCTCGAGGCGCCAAGATCGATGCCGAGCTGCAAGCAGAGGACGAGGCCACGCTCAGGAAGAAGAACCAGAAGTGAGTGAGGGTGAGATGGTGTAATGAATTTACAAAAATTGTAATATAATGATGCGTGGAATTACCGCATTGGTCTTGACCACCTCCGTCTCTCATCTCACCGCTCCAGTTTTGTGTGCGCTGTAAAATTTCTTTGTATGTGTTGTGTGCTGGTGAGTGGGTGTGTTTGCGGCCAGGCTGGCCATCAAGGTGCACAAGGCCACTCTGTTGCTTGTCACAGGTGCAACTCCAACGGCTGCACTGACAGCCCCAAGGGAACCCCTTTTTTATTGGTTCATTTAAAGACATCCCAACATCTATCTATAAGTGATCACCTCCGCCTTTCCCTTCCTTCACCTTGCAATTCCGTGGTCATTTATGTCTACTCCCGCTCCCCTCACTGTCCTATACACCTACAAAGCAAAGATGCATGTGCCCCACTCTGTCATCATGACAATTCCGTCAACCACATTCCACATACACACCTCCCTCCTCTTCGACCCCAAAAAGAAGGCATTCGTGAAGAATGTCTCAATAGAAGTCAACCCTGGGACGGGCGAGATTGTGAGCGTTACCGAACGCCCCGAGGAGAGCTTCTCCGCCAAAGATGGGGATATCGACCTCACTGGCAAGGTGGTGCTTCCTGGATTAGTAGACTCCCACACACACATCTTTCTTCACTCCTACGAGTATGCCCCCTGTTCTTCCAAATGAATTACTGATTTGATGGCTAACAACAATCACAGAGAACGCAATGGCACCCAACAAATGCGCGACCAGTCAGCTGTCGAGCGCATCGTCCGCGCAACAAATCACGCCCGCGCTGCTCTTCTGGCAGGCTACACCACCTACCGAGATCTCGGGACCGAAGCCCTAGGGAACGCCGACGCTAATCTGCGGGACTGCGTCAACCGCGGCTTGACCCCCGGCCCAAGGCTCCTGGTTGCCACGGACGCCCTTGCCAGCTCTGGTTCCTATGAACTCAGAGTAGAAAACAAGCTGGGCGGGAATGGACTCGGACTCTCTGTCCCACGAGCATCTGACGTTGCAGATGGTGTTGACGGGGTCAGAGCTGCCGTCCGAAGGAGGGTCGGAGAAGGTGCCGACTTGATCAAGTTCTACAGTGATTACCGACGCAAAACGATGCGGTTCCCTCCAGATGTGCCTGGACCCGGTGGAAGGGTCTTGTTCCCCCCCAAGAGGAGGAACCCGGCAGTTCCGTTGTACTCCAAGGAAGAAATGGAAGCTATCGTCAAGGAAGCACAACTAGCCGAGATTCCTGTTGCTGCTCACGCTGGCGAAACCAAGGCCGCGCTGTGGGCAGCAGACGCAGGTGTCACAACTATTGAACACATCTTTGAGGATACCGCCGAGTTGGAGCAGCCACTCTTCCAGAAAATGGTAGAGAAGAAGACAATATGGGTCCCTACTTTGGCTACTGCCGAGGCGCTGCCTGCCGATATGTTTCGGGAGTGCAAGCTTAGGGTCAAAAGGGCGTACGACCATGGAGTGCGCTTGGCTGCTGGTGGGGACACCGGGACGTTCAGTCACGGCCTCAATGCACGGGAAGTCGAGATTATGATACAGTGCGGCGTTTCTGTCGAGGACGCATTGGAAGCGGCGACTATTTCCGGTTGGGAAGCTTGTGGTGGAGATCTGTCTGGGTTCAGGTTTGGGTGGTTTGAGAAGGGTAATCGAGCGGACATTATTGCTTTGGAGACCAACCCCCGAAAGGATGAGAAGGCTTTGCGGAAGGTCAGTTTTGTCATGAAAGATGGCCGGGTCTGGAAAAGGGACGGTGCGGCTGTCGACATGATCTCTGTACCGCAGTGGTCCGAGGATGACGGCAACACTAGCGAGGAGTGGTCAGATCTGGAAGCTGGCAGCCCACCCAAGATGTCCATGTCAGTCCCACTGCCTGTGTTTCGAGGACAGAAGCGGGCATCCTGAAGGGCTTCCCGTTTGTCAACATGATAATCAACCACAGCGATACTGCGCGTGTCTCTCTTGATATGGCCCAACTACCAGCCAAGCAGTTCGAGTTAGACAGGATAGAATAGATGTCACTAGAACTCGTGTTGTGCAACATGTTGCAACTTTCCTCATCTCACAAGATGTTGTCACTCACAAACCTCTGTGGGTTCTGCCGCAGTATTTCGCGGCCTTCAGCTTCGGCCTTTGTTTCCGCTGGCCGTTTGTCTTTGGCGAATATGGTGCGGGCTTCCCATTCATTCCCGCATCGTCTGAACTCGGAATTGAGATGAGGAACCTCGAGAGGGGTAAGTATGGATCCAATCCTGTCAATTGTTTGGTTTTGGGTTTTGTGGGGAGGGCTGTTCAAGTAGGGAGGTGGAAAGTGCACCTACAATGCCACTTCTTACCTTGTCTGATGAAGCAAGTGGGCGGGACCCAGGTCTCCGCCTTTAATGGTATGAGGATACGGCGGTCCTCTCTCCAGGCGAAACATCAGTATTCTACTAGGTAGGCAAGGCGGTCAAGCTCCGGACATGGAACCCAAAACATGGCCGCAGCCTGGAAACTGGGGGGACGGCCGGGACCGGTTGCCGATATAAAGAGGAAGGAGACGTCCAGCAACGTTGATTCCAGAGGAGGTAGGCGTCCAGCATCTGGCACCCGGCCTTCGTTGGAAGTCTCCAAACCCTTTCCGTTCATCCAGCTCCTCTACCTTTGACCTTCAAGGACCATCTCTTCTCACCAAATTACGGTCCCAGACAGAATTCAGTCTGCACCAAGGCACAATGGCGAGACTCCCCAGCATCATCGCCATGATTTCGGCTCTCTCCCTCATGGCGCCAGCTCTGGCAACTATACACTATGTCATGCCAAACTACACTTGGCAGCTCAACCATACGATCAGTTCCGGCCCGGGAGGGGGACTTCCTCTTCCGCAGCTCCCAGTCAACAGTTCAACCTCTACACCGGTCTCCAACCCAATCACGAACTCGACCTCAAACTTCTACACGTCCTCCCCATTCTCGTATTACAACTACAACCAGGAACGTATCAAAGTCCGCCCCGAAGGCTGGCAAGGCCCTGCTGTGACCTATGACAACAACTCACTCAGCGTTTATGGCGAGCGGATCATGCTGTACAGCGGAGAATTCCACTATTTCCGACTGCCACGGTCCCCCGAGCTGTGGTGCGATGTGCTGGTCAAGATCAAAGCCATGGGCTTCAATGCCGTCAGTATTTATGTCCCCTGGATGATGTTGGAGCCACTGAGGGGAGAGTGGGACGAGGTTGGTTGGTTTGATTTGGACTTGTTTATAGGATTCGCTCAGACGAATGGCTTATATGTCATTGCCCGGCCAGGGCCTTACATCAGTAAGTTTTATTTCCCTGTTCCCTGGGGTCAAGCAAGACACAGCTGACACAGTGGCAGATGGCGAAGTCACTGGAGGCGGCTTGCCGGGGTGGCTGCAGAGAACCACGCCCACTCTACGAACTGCCGACCTCGAGTTTCTACAGGCTGCTGAAAAGTAGGTTGAGTCACCAAAGGCTATCCGCAGCACTGAGGCTAACTCCACAACCAGCTATGTCGTCAGGGTTGCCAATCTCATGGCCAAATGGCAAGTCGACAACGGAGGACCGGTCATTCTCTATCAGGTAGAGAATGAATACACGTTCGTTGGTGCCAGTCCAGAATGCGTTTCTGATAGTCAGTTGACAATATCTCCAGCATGTCCACCGACAGCTACAAAGGATTTCCTGACAACGGATATATGCAATGGCTCATCGAGAAGGCAAAGAACGCGAGCATCACTATTCCCATCATCAACAACGACGCTTGGCCCGCCGGAAACAGTCGCCCCGGTATCGGTGTGGGCGAAGTTGATATCTACGGTCATGATCTTTATCCCTTTGGTCTTGACTGTTCGGCGAAGGATTGGCCAGAGAATGCTACCTACACAGATCTTTGGTCGAAGCATATCGGCATGAGTCCAGGAACCCCCTACACAATCCCTGAGGTGAGTCTCATGAGATCTCTACTCCGCCATCTTGCGTTGCTCCAGAGACGCTGACTAGTTGCAGTTCCAAGTAAGAATCAAATGACTACCGAGACCTTCTTGCTCTGATTTTGCGAAACTGACACACTCGGCACGTAGGGCGGTGCTTATGACACCTGGGGGTCTGTGGGATATGATGAGTGCGTGAAGCTGTTCGACGACGTGCAGGCTCGCGTGCTCTTCAAGAACAGCTATGCGGCCGGTGTGAAGGTTTTCAACGTCTACATGGTGAGTGTCTTTGCAGGGACTTATTTAGGAGCCAAACATTGACCCTGTCCAGATCTTTGGCGGAACAAACTGGGGTAACTTGGGAGATCCCTATGTCTACACCAGTTATGACTATGGAGCGGTCTGTCAATTTTTGTGATTTGATCATCATGAGCTGACACCTTCTTCAGGCAATTGCTGAAGACCGCACCATTGGCCGACCCAAATACTCTGAGCTCAAGCTTCAAGCCAACTTTTTCAAAGTCTCTCCAGGGTACTTGGCAGCAATGCCATTCGAAAACATGACCGAAGGCATAGTTGGGTTTCAGATGAATTCCACAGACGACAAGCTTGTTGCAACTCAGCTCACCGGCGACTTCGGCACATTCTACGTTATCCGTCACCGTGACTATCGTCAGACTGACGACGTTGCCTTCACTCTCAAGCTACCCACAGCCTCCGGGAGGTGGCATCTGCCGGCAAAATCAGCCAACTTTGTGTTGTCTGGTCGCGACTCCAAGCTACTCGTCACGGACTACCCTTTCGGCGGGTTCTTTATGACTTACTGCTCGGCAGAAATTCTCACCTGGAACAGCTACAACAAGACAACCATTGTGATCTACGGAAATATTGGCGAGTATCATGAGCTTCGCTTCACCCACCCCTGGACAGACCCCATCCTTGAAAGCAGCGGTGTCAATCTTTTCGCTGACATAAATACGACTGCCGCTCAGTGGACAATCGGTCCAGATAGACAATGGGCAGTGATCAACAATTATGTGTATATGCACTTTGAAAGTTAGTATTGCACAGCGAAGAAGTACTTGCGACGACGGGGTCTTGATTAACACTTTGTGTGTTACAGATCGAAAATCTGCCTACAAATACTGGACGGTGGATTTGGTCCCAGCGTACTCCGAGGGGGCATCATCGATCATTGTTTACGGCGGTTATCTGATCCGTTCAGCAGCCGAGACTTGGCTTGAGGGCGGGATCACCACGGGCCTGATCCTGATGGGTGATTTCAACGAGACAACCACACTCGAGATCATGAACGTTCCACTCCTCGCTCGAACGCTCACTGTGAATTCCGACCCAGTGAATTACACAGTTAATGAGCATGGTAACTGGGTAGTCACAATTGACTACAAGTCTGCCGACAATACTGGCACGCCGGATCTCGTCACTGGAATAGAGTGGAATTACCGTGACTGTCTGCCTGAGATCCAGTCGGATTACAACGATTCTGGCTGGCTTCGATCAGTTCTCATGACCAACAACACCGACACTGCCCCTGCATACACACCCACCTCTCTTTACGGTTCCGACTATGGATTTCACACCGGAGTGCTCCTCTTCAGAGGTCACTTCCAGGCGGCAAGGGTGAAGGCGGCCTTGAACTTGTACACCCAGGGCGGCCCGGGATTTGCAGTTTCTGTCTGGCTCAACGACCAATTCCTTTACAGTTTTGACGGCAATCTCGGCACCGAGGGCAACGATACGCTGTACTATCTTCCTGACTTGGAGGTGAACTACGACAACCTGGTCAACTACAACCTCACTGTCCTTGTCGACAACATGGGCTTGGAGGAGAACCTGATAGTAGGGGCAAACCGCATGAAGTCGCCGCGTGGTATCATGAACTACGGTATATTTGACGAAACTGTGCACAATATCGTCATGGCCATTGACTGGAAGCTGACGGGCAACTGGAAGGGGGAGTATTATGCAGACAAGGTGAGGGGCCCTCTGAACGAAGGGGGTCTGTTTGCTGAGAGAATGGGCTACCACCTTCCGGGAGCTCCGCTGTCTGGAGATACCTCGAAGAATCCATTCAAGGACGGACTCGACAAGCCAGGTGTTGGGTTTTGGTCTGCGAAGTTGACGATCAACTGGGACAGAATATACGATACGCCACTGAGCTTTGTGTTTCAGGAGACGGACGAGAGCAAGAGGGCGGCGAATGGCTGCCGGGCATGGCTTTATGTCAATGGCTATCAGTTTGGGAGGTATATTCCTAAGTTTGGACCTCAGAACGAGTTCCATGTGCCGGATGGGATTATTTACACGAATGGGACGGAGAATCATATTGCCATTGCGATGTGGGCGCCGAATGAAGGAGGGGCGAAGTTGCCGTGGCTGACTTTGAAGAGTGGGCATCCGGTTAGGTCGACGAGGATTTGGCCGGGGGATATGAATTCGTTTGTGGCGGAGAGTTATTATGACGGGAGAGAGGGGTCGTATTGAGGTGCTGTGATGGGATGGCTTCTTTGGAAGGCAGGCTGGCTGGTGCTGGCTACTGCGGGAGATCGGATGGTGGTTCAGGTACCGACGCTATTCCCTACTCGGTGTGTGTGGTACCTGCAGGAGAGTCGGAGGGAGAAAAGGAGGGGATGCTCCGTAGGAGAGATTTTCTTGGTGTGACAGCTTTGCTTGATGTTTTTTGACAGGAACAGGTTTAGCTTCTATGAGAGCAAGTTACAAGATGTGGATGTGATTAGATATCAATTGATCATTTGACACACACACACACTCTACGACGGCGATGAGACGGTGCTGGTGTTAGTTTTTGAGAATTTTGCCGCGTGAGCCGTGAGGTTGCAGTTTTCTCAGCTGTGTGCATTCCAGCCCAAGGCATGCAAGTCATCTTTTCTTTTCAGCAGTGCGGTGAAAATTGTTCACTCTGCATGTACGATGGATGGGTAAGGTAGGGATTGTTGGTGATGTTTTCCTGTGTGGTATGCCCGATAAGGATAAGGATGGGGGGGCGGGATGCAGGTACACTGGCTAGGTCGGATGGATGTAAGCCAAGGGGCAGAGGGGAGAAAAATGGCTGTTCTGGATGGAACGGGATGGAAAAGTTGGGCCTTGGAAGTTTAAGAGAGAAGTGTTGTGTAAGAACCTGTGTGTCGGGTTGCATTTTGGAGTATTGGCATGGAGTTTTTTAAGGTGGGAGAGTGTGTTTTCGCCTCTTGATTTGATGAAGGCCGGAGTATCTTGACCGCTAGTTTTTGATGGTATAAGTGAGACTATCCGAGAGAGCCGGCAGTGGGTGGGATGATGGGCGAGGGAAGTTTTGTGAGTGGAAGAATGGGATATGTGACGCTGTAATTTGAGGTATGGAAGATGTTGTAATAAGTTGGGGATGGGAACTGGTTTTGAGTGGAGGGTGAGGTTTCATTGAAGAGACGGTGCTGCCATGATGAGAAGTGTTTTCTTCTGGAGGAGTGCCGGCCGGCCGGTTGTCATTGTGATGCTGTTGGGCAGGGTGAGGTGATGAGTTCATCAGTTGCGGTATAAGCAAGGGTATGAATAGTGCAGGACGGATTTCGTGCAGATGAGCGGGATTGAATGTGTCATCATCATGGACACCCATGATTGTCACCCTGCCCTGCCAAGACCCAATGGACTTGCACGGAGTTGTGTGAATTTGTGGTGGTGGTGGGTGCCAAGGGACGGGAAAACACCATGAAAAAAAAAATCAAGGAAGGTTTACGTTATCACCACAGGTTTTTTTCCCATCACGGGAACGTTTTTGCCCAGGCTATTAGGCGGGAGGGTAGGTAGTGTAATTTCCGCCTTTTTTTGTTTTTGTTTTTGGATGACTCAACCTTGGACAAGAAAAAACTGGCCATGGGCGACATGACATCCATGGCAGATAGGTAGGGTGGTTTTTTTGTGACGACGACTTGGTGGTCACGGAGGGCCACGTATATCGAGTCGTCTTGTTTAATCAAGGGATACTGAAAATGGTTCCAGTCGCCTTGTGAGAGCCTCGTGGCTTGCGATGACCGGAGGCGGGGGAGTGCGCGCGGAGACGGAGGTACATACTCAGATTCTCGGCTCGTGTGTTCGGCTCGGTGAGGCTCGGCTTTCACAATGAGAGAGGAAAGAGAGATGGCTCCTGGAAGAGGAAGTCACAAAGAAGGCGTGCGTGGCTTCGGTAGTGCTTGCAGCATGTCCACGACAGGGGTTATTGTCATCAGGCAAGGCAGGTACACCAGGTAAAGGTACACGAACCAAAAGGAAGCAAGGGATGGCTCAAGTACGACGCACACCTCAGCCATTTTCTGGCCTCATGACTTCTTTTTGTCACCCACACCTATTGTGACTGCGGCAATCTCTGACCTTTCGTTTTCTTGTTGTGTAGGCACACTTTGTGTTTGCCAACGCTATTCCCGTGTTTTGCCGATGTGGCTCGGTGATGCCATTTTGGGCCTGTTCTCGACTTACACACAGACTTGTCCGTTGATGGAGTCGAATGTTTTCTTACCCGAGTGTACAGCTACTTGAAACAAAACAATTCTGCTGCAAGGGGGGGAAAACATCAGTTGAAGATGAAGCATAGTGTGATCTTCTAATGCACGGGCCAAAACAAAAGCTTATTCTGTAATGGCCGATTTCACAACGAGATCAGATGAAGATGAAGCACAAGGTGAAAGAAAGTGTTTATTTTTTGTCTGTCTGACCATTGCCTGACCATCCACTGCCGCCCTTGCTTGTATAAGCTCGGGATTTCCTAAATGGGCACCTAAAGCCCGTAACCCGTTGTAGTAGCGGTAACCCACTCCCCCATATCCAAAGAAAAATGTAACAAAAAAAGTGGTATCTCGAGTGATGTATGAAACTCCATCCAAATGCACAAATGACATGACCAATCTTTCGATGAAGGGCCCAGTCGATGTCCTGACCAACTGATGGTGACCCATTCCTTGACCCAAAAAGCCTCAAAAAAAATACCCAACGCCGGCTAAGATGCAGAAAAGACCCGCTTTGGGTCATGTACATGTGGAAAAAGGAAATTAAAAGTGTACAGGGGGAAGACAAAAGAGAAAATAGTATAGTCGATGATGGTACAGTGAGCTGAAAGAAAGATTGTTTAGACCTCCCAAGTCTCTTCCTCAGGAGCCAGAGCAGGTGTGTCGCTCACAAAGACGATTCCTCGTCTTTTCCAGCCGCCCCTCTTGATAAAATTCTCGGCCTCGGACAGGGCGGCCGGTTGTCCGGGGGTGTGTTGAGGGTGGGGGCGACGGCGCGGGGCCGGGAGGGGCGTAACGATGAAGTTATCGCCCCACTCCTCGGCATCCCGAGTGCCGTCCAGTGATGAGGCATCCGAAGCAGTGCTTGGCGTTGGTGAGGGTGGTCTTCTGGCCGAGGTCTGATGGCTTCTACTATTGTCGAACCCAAAGTCAAATCCCCCATAGATAACAGTTGCTGTTGAGGCTTGGTGGTTGTGCCGGGATGTGTGGTTGTTGTGTTGTTGGGCTCGGAGATTGTGCATAGATCGAGCTTGCCTTAGCTCGTGGGGTTGATATCGTCTGCTGGACGTCTCCTCGGGAAGATGTGGAACCGGGGCGCAGGCAAGAGGTGGGTGAAGACGGAGCGGGTCCCAGTCGACTGAAAGTTCTGATTTTCCCCCGCTCGTTGAAGGTCGTGATACTGAAGATGATGAGGACTCCATGGAGGATCTGGCCAGCGAGCTGGCACTGCTCGGCTGGCTGTGGTGGTGACGGAAGTGCATGGTTGAATGTGAGGCAGCTTCGCTTCTAAGACGGTTGTGACTCCGGAAACTGCGGAGGGCTCGATGACTGGTGTGGTGGTGGTGAGGAAGGCCACAGAACATAACCGGCCGTCTGGTGAGTGGTGGGTGGTGAGGTAGATATAGTTGATAGTCTGTAAGAGGTGGCTAGCCGTGGTTGGCTCTTGGACTGGACCCGGACATTCGAGGGTATCTGTGTGGTTGGTGAGGCTTGCTGAAGACCGGGAGCTCTCGATAGGTACAGCTAGGTGGGAGGAGCGGGGATATATACGCATGGAGGGCTTTTCTCCCCCATGCTCATGGCAGGCTGCCGATCGGGCATGACGAGAGATGTGGTACCTGCAGCTGATGCAAGACCCAGCCCGGAGAGTACGTACAGAGTAGCGTGATATTGGGCGGTGGATGCGGTGGCTGACTAGGCCTGTTCCGTGGCCCGGACACGGCGCTCGAGCGCTGCACACCACCATGCATCGAAAAGAGTGGGGCTACAATCCGCCCAAGCGAGCCATGAGAGCTGCACTCTTTCAGCACTGGCCAGATCCAAGCCACTCCGCTCCGCGCAAGCTTCAGCTGTCAGAATAACACGAATACCGGCCGAGGAGAAGATGACGGCTCATGAAGCCCTCCACCGTCTCACTACCTATTGATTTCTTTGACCCGGAATCACAGAGAGCAACCCGCGGTTTCCAGTACCTCCCTCCACATGCTGCCATTCACCCTGATGCGCTTCCTAAAATTTGCAACCTCAAAATCAGTACAAGGGTACGTCATCACTGATCAGGGCAGACATCATCTCCCCCGCCAAAGCTGGGCATCGCTGGGCAACTTGCAACATGGGTGGTATCGACACATCGGGCACGGCCCCATCGATTGCCCAGAGCTCCCCAGAAATCGCCAATTTTCTGCGACGACCATTTGCCTCTTTCACGTTAGCAGGAACAGATGTCTTGGGCCGTGGACCATGGCCGGCAACCTCCCTCGGCCTTCAAAATGATAGTAATCGACCGCAAAGGTCTCGCAAATTGGCCCGGGAGGGAGAATTGGCGATGGCAATGGCGAAATACTGAGCGCAGCCAAGCAGATCACAGGGCGCAAGATTTCAAGATTTTCAGTCACATTGGGAATCCCATCGAAGCCACGAACGTGCGAACATGTTTGCTTCCTCCACTCGGTTTCCACCTTTGAAGAAAAATAGATCGATCCGAGGGCCTCTTGAGGCATCGCTTCCCACCCTTTCTTTCGATCTGTATACTCCGATCCTCCCGCAATTTCAACACGCCATCATTATTCCATTACGACAAGACTCGCAAGACCGGTCGTTGGCCAAAAGGGGCAACTGGCCCTGACTGAACCGAGCAAGAACTCGTGGCAACCAGAAAGAAAATCTCGTACCTTGCTTTGGAATGCTTCCGCTCACGGGACTCAAGGAACGCCCCTTCCTTCGGCAGTGTCCTCCAACCCCATGATTGGAGAGCCTTGCCTCGCTGGCCTTTTTAGACAGCCAGATTGGGATGAACCGCCCAGTCATCAGCAGCCAGCAGCCAGCAGCCATCAACGCGGGGATAAAACATCCAAAGCGGCGCCAGGCCCTGTGGCTTGAAATCCTGCTGTTCCAGCAGTGTGGTTGATCCGCAGATCGCTAGCGAGTTATCTGTGCGAACCACAGCCGCTCACCTGCATCTTGGCACCAAGTCCCCTCCTTGCTTCTCTTGATCATCAGTCACTTTATCCATCATGATGTCCCATCAGCAGTCATCCCTTGCAGGTGGGAATCGAGACATTGGGGAGATAACACCAGGGGTCAGCACTCTATGAATATCATAGCGGGGTTCACCGCTCGGGAATCTAGACAAGACGACGCGGGACGAGCGGCATGCCGAATAGTAAGAAAAAGTTCCGTCTATTCTTGAAGAGGAGAGACATGTTCCCGACCATCATATCATCAGCCTTGAGCTCCACACCGAGTTGTCAGCAAGCCACTTTTCAGCAGCGGCAAGCCTCGAGGCCTGAGCTGCAAGTCATCGTTCCGTTTGAAGCATCCAACATCAAAATATTGACGGTATCGCCCTGTCGTATGTAGACCATGGCCGGCCGTGAAGGTCGGTCCAGACTGTCAACATGGACGAACCAACTTGGAATTGTGGCGGCGGCACTTCGCGACATCCAGTCGTCCCGGGAATCGAGGACTCATCCCGTCATCAGCCCTTTCAACCCTCCCCTCACTATGATCGGCAGTTTCGGGCTCGTTGTTATCTCGCCCAATGAGCTCGATGATTGACAGACTGGATGATGGTTGGGTGGCACGAAATACGTCAAAAAACGTTTCAAAACCTTTTCGGGATCTTTGTTTCCCCATCTCCACAACGCACATCCCTTTGCGGATATCATCAAGTAATTGCGAAGTTACTTCAGGTTATTCGGCGACCATCCCATCTTTTTTCATGACCCTTTGCGTCAGACACATAATCCCGCCAGACTGGGCGCAGAGATCAATGCAACAATCAGGGGTCAACGCCCATGACGATGAGGCTCTCCAGCCTACCTATCTTCAACCGCCCAAGCAACCTGCCAAAAGCCTCCTCGCCTTACACAGCAGGTCGCACCAGGTTTCTCTCTAACCGCCTCTTGGGCTTTCAGTGACAAATATTTTACGAATTCCCAACCAGGAGGCTGGGCTCACGCCAGTGCAACAAGCTGAATACCTACCCACCACAGGCACTACCTTAGCCTACCCGCTCTGCGCGAGTCTGTGTGTCCCGCCCACCGGGCATCAAGCGCGGGGGGAAGTAGATATGTCGATGCATATGCACACACACAGACAGCCGGGCCTTCATCCCCTCTCTTGAAAAGACCAGACGAATTCCAGCCCTGTCAACGCGGGGACACCGTGTGTAGATAACACTAATGCTTTCCCGCATAATTTGAAATACTCATGAGACGCAGGCGCAAAGTGTAAACACACACACAGGGTCCCCTACTATTCAACCTGCCCCTTTTGGATTGACGACCCGCCTCCTTTTAATTCATGACTAACAAAACACAAAACACCACATGGCAACGCCTTGGTGGCTTTTGTCGGCGACGGCCGTATCGTATTGCCTCAAATCACCCTCGGATTCCCTTGCCGCATGTGTGTGTGTGGGTGTGTGTGTAAACCCCGGAGAGAGCCAACGCAATGACGCATCGAGATCACATTATATCATAGACAACAGACACAAACCATCTTCTGAAACAAAATGCGGGCGGATGATCCGCAGATCAACGCTTGTGCCCGAGGCGTAGGGAAAATCCTCCCCGCGTTTTTGACATAAACAAATCTTTTATGGTTTGTTGGCTTCAAACTCCTATGTACAAGAGGGGTCACTGGGGTCAATGACATATGCACCCTGCAAACATCAAACACTAGACACTACAGCTACTGCCTTGTTGGAACGGAGGCCAAAAAGTTAGATCCTCTTGTTGGATGAAAAAAAAGATGATATTTTTGGCCGTTGTTTTGTGTATTGTTGGTGGTGGTGGTGGTGGAGGTGGTGGTACTCAGCAGCAAGGCTGGCGGCAACGTATGCATGCATCTCTGTGTTGTCAAAAAATCCCATCACTTATTCCCTCTGCAGCCTCGCCTCCCCGTCAGCCCCGAGCTATCATAATCCTCAGCAACCTAACACCGTCATCATCCCATCGCTGAGAACAACTAGCCCCCATCATCCTCCTCCTCCCAAGGGTCTGGATCCAATCGGATCCATTACAGCCATCATCACCAGCAATCCGGAAACCCGACACTTGGTAAAAGTGATCAAATTCCCGGTTCCAACAACCACTATTGTTGATTTTGTCACCGGCAACCTCGGATGAGCAAACCCGATCCTAGGCAATACCCAAAGCTAAGGTGAGACCAGACAAAAACACCGGCTGTAACCAACCTGTCTTTGTCTGTTTTGACTCTGATAACTATATCAGTTGTCAAGTACCCTACCCAGCCCCGGAGTATTTCCCCGATATCTTCAACACCCCCTGTCAATGTGGCTTGTGTGCGACAACAACCGGCTCATATAAAAAATTTCGCCGTCTTTCAGAGACAAAAAAAATTGAATATATGATCTCTCCGACAGACTGGTTTGACTCTCGGCCGCGGGAAAGCGCGGGAGGCTCCCAGAGTCAAAATGTGGAGATAACGTCCGGGTTTGAAGCCAGGGATGGCGGAGACAAAACCCCCATCATCAAAAGTCCCCGAGACCATCACCGTGTGCCCGGAAGTCGATCCCGCTCGGCCGTACTGCTTCGTGATCTTGACTGATATTATGATCGAAAACTGACATCCCCCATCTCTCCCATCAAACAGCTGAAAAGGCAAGGGGGGGCGAGTAACAGCTGTCGGAGATTTTCGGCGTAATAGTGACAAGACAACAACCGCCCTCTTTTCAATGTTGCACGAGTAAGTCCCAAACCATCGGATCAATCATCGTCGTACAAAAACAAGGCGCGCGTGTCTCTTTTTTTGTACGCGCGTGACTGGGGGTTGCTATGGTCAGCCGACAATGACAATAACAAACCCCCAACCCAACTTGCGGCCTGGAGGGATTCGTAAAGTTGGAAGGCTGGGTAAGTCGGCGGTGAGATTATGCTGCTCGCGGCCGAGTTTTCTCCATCATCCCTTCGTAAACACCCCCCATCATCTCACCTGACACAGAGCGCGCACCTCTTCACAAAATACCATCACTCTCCCCCTTGAACCTCTTGACGCGCTTCTGCTCCCAATCGTCGAGATCCTTCGCTGCCAATCTCTGCACAACAACCAACACATGTCAGCCCCACAAACAATATGTCTCTTTGCAGCGTGACAAAAGAAAACTCACGTAGTACTCCTCCTTCATGTCCACCTTCCTCCTCTGCTGCCCGATACCCAGCTCTTCATCCCGCGTCATGGTCCTGACCTTGCGGTCGTGGCGCTCGTACCGGATCGCGGTGGCGGGCGTGAGGACGAAGGAGCCGCCAATGATGACTGTCAAAAAGGGGAGGCCGAAGAGGAGGAAGGGGCGCTTGGCCATCAGGGCGCGGTAGCGGGCGCCGAAGGTGTTGGATTCGGCGGAGCCGCGGAACTTTTTGGAGCCGAAGGACATTTTGAGTGGTACTTTTGCCGGGAATGATTCGGGCAGTGATTCCGTAGGGGTTGTGAAATTGACAGTTCCAGAGGTCTGGGCTGGTAACTCGAGGTATTCGGAGGTGCAAACCGTATCGGTAGGTCGTTGAAGAAATTGAAGCTCGGAAGCTGCTCCGTCATTGTTGTATGATGGGATGAAGTTTTGGTGGGGTGGATGATTAAGCAGGCTATGGCATGATATATGGAGGGTTAGGGTTCCCCTGAGTTGATGGTGGACGATGTAAACAAAGGGCCCATGCTGCCTAGCAACACCGAAAAAAGTGATACAATCCCTCGGATAGTGTTTAGAACCGGTACTGATATGCTTCCTTTCAGATTTCTAACATGTTATTACAAGTTAACATATTGCTACAAAACCAGAAAGTCGAAACTACAGTCGCTAGGTTTGAGGCTCAACATGCCTGAATCAGAGTGGAGGACATTGAAGCACAGCAAATCCAAGAAACTAATCTGTCCGTCATTTAACAATTCAAGAGTTGTCCTGTATTGCTTGGTCAATCATCCGGCCAGTCTTCTTTTTCTGGCATCATAGTTCGACTATTCATTCGGCTGTCTAGATACAACTGCCTACTCCTCCAAAAGAGGTAGGCCGAATATTGAGATATATGAACTGAGCTATTGTATAAAAAAGTGTAACCGATTGGGGAATTTGGCCTGATGTATACTATGGCTCAGAGTGATGAATTCACCTCATCCGTTTCCGCAGAGGGGATGGCATCAGAAACTTGAAGCAGCATACTTGGAACCGAGCTGTTTCCACGGACTTTGCGCACTAATAGTAAGTAGTCTTCTGATAATAGTGAGAGGTCAAAAAAGTATTACAATTTGTCACGAACCGACAATCATATGCAGCTAGCGCCACTGCCCTTCTATGGAAGGTTGTCTTATGCCAACTGAGAGCGGCATCTTTCGACATGCCTCCTCGTACTGTTTCAGACTCCATACACTGCAACTTCGAGACCTTGCTATAACCACCTCACCCAGGCACGAGGAATCGCAACTGCAATCCTTCAACCAACTTTTTTCCATAGAGCTCTGTATAACCCTTCACCACTGAACAAATAATGACAGCCATTCATGGGCAGGGAAACACATCAGGTAGTCCTAGCTAGCCCACACTAACCGTAGCCTAGAGCCTGCCTCTGATTCGATTGATAACTACAGATCACTAACACTGTAAGATCCCACAGGAAAGACAATCAATGACCCAAACCTACACCACGACAAGGCCACTTCCATATTCATAACCATGTGTTCCATCATCCGTCATTTCCACCCCTTTGTCCAGCACCTGATAATAATCTCCACGCCTGTCTCGGATATTACATCCCCTACTACCACGTTGACAATCAGTAGTGATACATACCCCTTGATGACATAGACAGCCACGCATGGGCCGAAGAATAAAACATACTCTCAACTCTAGATAGACCGTGACAGACTCGTATGATCCTACCTCCATATCAGCTTCTCGAACCTATATCCATCATAAGCTGGTAACTAAACCTACCACAAACCAGCACCGCAACAAAAACATACCAGTCCCATTTCAAACCCTACACACCAGGTAACTAGAACCATTTGCAGCAGCAGTTAGATTGTTGAATCCATAGCATGATGGGCAGCAAGCACATCGACACGAAATCTGCAAGGTACCTAATTGGTCCACCAAGACTGACAGAAAACCTGCAAATACAACCTGGCCCCTTTGCTTATGCCCTCCCCCCCCCCCCCTCCCCTCCCTTCCTTCCCCTAAACACACCCATCCACCTAGACCCAAGATCTAAAGGCACGCTTCTTGAGCCGCAGTGTGTGTTAGAATACATAGACCTCCCTCGCCAAACAAGCGCTCTAGATGACGAGGACTCATCTTGTGAGAGCCTCCACTTGGATCTACTAGTGACTATGGACGCAAGCAACAAAGGCGTTTCCCCTAGGCCAGTATGCAAGGCAGAACGAGCCATAGGGATGGTGCAGGCATGGATGGTGAGATGCTCCCCACATGAGCGGCCATGATCCATACATTCTACCCAAAAGTCCTCAAGCTAAAGAAGTTGGTTGGCATGGCGTACATGAGAGAGAACCATCACCAAACACAAACAATGTCTGGATGTATCCTGGGGTATTATCGCAATGGAAAGCAACCTCACCACGTCCACCAACGCTAAAGAACAGCAAGAGTAACTGGCCCAAAACCGCATGGATTTTAACAAGGTAAAATTCTATCCTCCGCAATGATGTTGACCACAGCGGTGGCAGCCCTTCTTCCCCAAGCAGCGCGTCTTAGGCTATCTACAATGCTAGAGTACACGGAAAAAAGGAACGGTGGATGATCGTCGTAGTGATGATGGCAGCAGCACTAAGCTCATGATGCCGCTTAAAGGACGGAAAGATCGCCGAATTTCTCCTACAAACCCCAGCGTGGTTAGCATCATCCTCCCACATACCCCCAATCCTCCCAACTCAAAACATACCTTGTACCCAGGCACAGACCAGCGGCCCTTGCTGACCAACTTGGCAGTCTTCTCATCAATGCTCGGCTCAGCAGCAGCAACCTCATCAACAGTAAGCTCCTCAAACGGCCTGGCGCTCTCAATGTTGGCCAGCGTCTTCTCCAGGTCCTTCAGCTCCAAGTCGACCTTCTGCTTGGTCGCCTCGGCATTCTTGACGGCCTCGGCCTCGAACACATCGATCGCCTTGAGCTGGCGGGAGACGTCATAGGTGGCGGGCTTGAAGGCCGTGAAGCGCTTCTCGATCTCGTCGACGACGGCCTGGTTCTTGAGGACGGAGCGGTAGTGGGCAAAGTCGACGGTGGTGGGGAGCTCGGAAAGCTGCTGGACCTTGCGGCGGACGTCGTCGTTGCGCTTCTTGAAGGCCTGGAGGCCGGCGACCGTCTGGCCGCGAAGGCCGAGCGAGGTGGTGATCTTGGCCCAGTCGACCTTGAGAGCTGCGCTGCGCTAGAAGAGGCGAAGAGAGAAACACAAAATTAGCTCAGCTCTGGTGCTTCGGAGGTGCTAGGTTCCCTGCTGCTTTTGCCTCCGGGAGCTCCTCCCAGCAGAGGACAATGATACAACACGGCAACGGGTTCAATTGACAGAAGGAAACCTACTGCGGCCATTTTTGCGGTGGTTCTGAGATGGTCTGGAGGGGTGGAATTGCGTCGCTGTCGTTGCGTTGAGTCTGCCGAATCCAAGCAACGTTTGCCGGGCGCGGAATCTCCAATCACGTGATTGCTCCACGGAATCAACGGGCAGGGCTTGTTGGCTAGCTCCGGGATCTCGCGAGCTGGCCAAGCTTGGATGGCGGGATAGAATCTTGAATGTGAACTCACTGAATGTGAGAAAACAATGCATTGACTGAGTTGGTTACATTATATTAGAGTTTTTAGGAGATGAAGCAGGTACAACAACTCAGATTCGATTACTTTCGCATTCCCAATGCGTGGGCAGACACATGTTACTGTGTAGAGCTTTTTCAAGAACTGATGGCGGGGCACATATGACATCTCTAAACCAAGTCATAAAAAGGAGGTACATTTTGGCCAACGAGAAGGCTTATGCCAGAACAGACAGCCTCAACCCTTTAGGGACGGCTGATCTTTATATTTGTTTTGCTTAACGGACGACGCAACTCTCAACCCTAGACACTCAATGCCATGATCGAGTTGACTATGTCGTTGTCGTTCTCTTTCAGCGCCTTGATGGCCTTCTTTCTGGAGACGTTGGCCTGGGTCATGACAAGCTCGATGTCCTTGTCCTCAATGCCCTCGGCGTCGACCTCCTCGCCGTCATCCTCCTCCTCCTCCTTGGCGGCGTGGGAGTGGCCCTCGTGGGAGTGGTCGTGGCCGGCGTGGTCGTGCTCAGCGGACTGGCTGGCGAGCTGCTGGGCAGCGGCGGCCTGAGCGCTGGCGTTGAGGTCTTCAATCTTGGCCTCACCGAACACACTGTGAAGCGGGGTCAGCATTCCAAGCATCGCAAACCCAACGACAAGCTGCATCGACTCCTCTACTCACATGTAGGTGTTGCTGTTGGGGGACTTGTAAACCTCGGGGTTGTTGATCACGAAGAGAATCTATACCTCCCACACCCTGGTCAGCCCACGTTCGTTTTCCCATATAACCCCGCACTTCAATTCCACGCCCAACTCAAACAGCATTCCCAATCCACAGAGGACCGTCCTTCCCTTCCCAACGTAAAACTCACGTTCTTGGGGCGGCGGAGAGTCACACGGGTGATACCGGGGACGCGGGTGAGGTGCAGCTTCTCGATGGCCTTGCGAGCCTTCTTCTCGTTGCGCGAGTGGACCATGGTGGTCGAGCCGGCGGGGAGGCTGGCATCGCCGGCCTCAACATCGGAGTCGTCGCTGGAGTCATCGAGCTCCTCGACTTGGGTCTTCTTGGTCTCCTCCTCGGGGAGTTCCTCGACACGGGGGTTGGCCATCTTGACTGCTAGTTGGTGGGTTGGACCTTGTCAGTTCTCCTCTCCTGGCTTCGCAAACTAACGCACACACAAACCACCCCCGGGAAACAAGTCAAGCTGGAGCTTGAAGTGCGACCTTGGACGGTCTGTCCCGTTTAAAGGGGTCGTGAAAAGACATTGGGAATCGCTTCCCGCGCTGCACTCACATTGATATCGAAACTGACGTTAACACCTGATATGCGGGGGTAGGAAGACTCTCGTCGTGGTGCGAAGAAAAGTTTCGGCTCCAATTTTCAGGTAGGGCTTGGAGCACCCGCAAGCTGCCACAAAAGACGCTAGTCCCAATTAGGTAATCTGGGGATTTCCAGATTCACTCCAACTGCCTTCTCAACTACGGAGCTCGATTGCTCTCTTATCGCGATAGCGGATCAGGAGCTGTTATCAAGGCTTCCCTTTCGTCATGAACACATGGATGTGGAATTGAGAATTATATACAGTATTGTAGCTCAAACGTCGCAAAGAATAAGAACAGAAGACGGCAGAGTGATTTTGGCAAGTGCATTGTCCTCATGTATTCTTGGGGTATTCATTTTAACGGACAGAGCTCACTGTCACCAACCTAATCCCGTAGTTTCGGCACTCGACAGTTTGCCCTCGATGGTTTGCTTGTGAGGTGGATGTCATTTTTGGCTTTAATTCGCACTTTCCATGACGCCGGCCACAATCGTTGTTGAGTGTGACATAAGAGGCCTTCCGAAATAGACGCAGTGAATAACTCAGCAAATCCGTGTTGTGCTGAACCCTTATGCTGACCCTCCCAGAAATCCCATCTTTTCCTCCCCCAGAGAACCATGCCGAACCAAACGCTTCCCATCTACCAAGACGCCCATTCCCAACGCTTAAGCCGAGGACTTGATCTTGGCGAGAGCCTTGCGCTCCTCGAACCTTCTCTGCTTCTTCAACCGCATAACCTTGAAGCGGTCAAAGTCGGTAAGGGCCTGGCGCTTCTCCTGCTTCTCCTGCTTCTTGGCCCAGTTGGTGGCAGCCCACTTGGCGTCAACGCCGGCAGCCTCCCAGGCCTTCTTGACGGTACCTGTCCGGGCACCGCGGGGGAGCTTATCGATGACGATGGGGGTCAGGAGGGTGTTGGCGAAAGAGACCTCGCCGCGGGGGGTGACGAGCTTCTCGTTGGAGGAGGGGCCGTCGACCAAAGCCTGAAGTCCACTGTTTTAGTTCTCTCTGTCCAATTTCACGATCACTTCATCGTAGATATCGCCATTCGGTGCTCGGCGTCCACTCGGTGGGTTGGGTTCAAACATACGCGCTTGTGGTCGATGATCTCGACGATAGCAGCGAGGCTGCCGCTCTCAAGCTTGAGAACACGGCCAACCTCTACGCGGCGCCACGCTGTCGCTCCGATGTTGAGTTCCGCCATTTTGGTCGACTGTCTGGTGATGCTGTCGTGTTAGTAAGGTCGGTCCAGCAGGGTGCTTGGAGAAGTGCGAAAAGCGAAAATGAAGAGGAAAAGGCAGGAGGGTCGTGGGCAATTACAGTGGGCAGGGAAATGGGGTCGCGCGTACCTTTGATGCTGTGTCCGGGGCCGTCAAAGATTCGAAGTCGCTACCATGCACCGATATCGAGACCAAATTTTGTGTGCGTTGGTAATTGGCAGGGCTCGTGGAAATTTTGCGGAATGAGTTGGTGCCGGTTCCGACCACTCATGTGCTGGCGCTTGAGCCACAGGGCGGGGCAATTTGGGGCTAGGTGGCCGTGGCAATTGTGGCTTGTCGGCACTAGGCCCCACTCCGTTTTTGACGACACCTCTTGCCAGTCCGGGCCAACCAACTCATTCTCGGGACCGCAACTTGGTTCAATTCTCCAATCTTTCGGCCTTATAATCTCGACCCAATCGGTTTCCCCCCAGAGAATGGCTATTACGAGCGATTCAACAGCCTAGGCTTGAGCAGGCAAGACTCATGAGGCGAACATCCAGTTGGCAAGAATGAGCTTGGCGATGCCAAGCCATTCGGTCTTAGACGTGGACGGTGATACAACCCATCCATTTTTCTTGTCCCATCTCAAGTTCTCCGATCTCCAACGAGCAAACCATGGTTTGCTCATTCTCGTGTCTGTAGCGAGCGACAATCACCTCACCCATCATGCCATTGGCGTGCTGTTGTCTTCCGCGGAACAAGCCCGCTTACACCTGTCTCCAGAGGTGTGGTAGGTTCCCAGCTTCGGGTGTAATGGACCGAGAGAGGAGGTCCGTATCCCGGGCTGTCCTCCTCTTCGGCGTCCGATTTCACAACCACCGAAGGCTGTCCTGCGGCATGCAAGCCGCAGTGATTGTCAACACTCCCCGACCTATTCCCGGTATCTGGTCAAGTCACTTGACCCGTCGTAGTGGTTAAGCTACCAGTCTCTTTGGAGTTAGGAGTTGGAAGGAGTAGGATGGACTTGAAAGTTCCAGTCCCAAAGAGATGGCATATGCATGCGATCTGCAGTGTCATAACTCGCTATCTTGACCACTGCATCGGGTCATCCCTGTCGGCATCTCAGTCCCAATCCCCATGAGCTTGTTTCCATACTTTCGACCTACACCTAACCGCTGTTTCCAGATTGTTTGCGAGATTTTCAGCATGTTTCCTGTTCTTCAACGCCACGGATGATGACAAAATGATAAGACCCGGGGAGGGCAAGTGCGACGCTGAGTCCTGTGCAATTGGGCAGGTCTGGTCTGGAGATCCCCATGAGGCACATATCACGGGGTTGGGGGGGTGCCCACCACGGCGGAAGAAGAAAGCTTATTTCTCTCTCCCGCTGACGTGAAGGGCTTTGAAAAGGCTTGTTTAATGTGTCTTGTCACATTTGTTAAGCCTCTCAGACTCTCGTGCAGCAACCCTCTTCAACTAAGTTTCGAACATGCCCATCTACCTGGCGTAACATTCCTCTTCCGCCTATATAAGTCCCGGGTCCCTTACCTCTTCTAACATTCCGATTATCGTCAGACGAACTACGAAATCATCAACCATCTTTCTGGACCCACAGCTTTCCTGCAGCCGTTGAGCTCCACTCGCATCAAAGCCTGGAACCCTGGTCATCAGCAAAATTCCATCTCCACCTGCCGAGCTACGGACTTACAATAAGTTACGACACTACCTAAATCAGCATGGCCCAACCAATGGGCTTGACGCTCGATGATATTGTCTTCGACGAAGCCACGCCGGAGCAGCAGCGCATTGCTCTTGAACTAAGAGCTGAAGCCTGCCCTAATCCTCACGAATTCATCGAGCGCGAGCGTCACCTCACACAACATGAGCTTACTCGCTCTGACTGTCGACAGTGGGTCCTCTATCTCAAGGGATACCCAAGACAGATCATCGCGAGCTGTGAAGCTATACGCCAAAAGATCCTCGTCTCCGATGGAACTGCTAGGGAGTCATATGGTTACACCATCCGACACGTCTTCACAACACCGGTTTGGCGTCGATTAGGCATGGCTGCGTATCTGCTCCGCTATGTGAAGGAGCGGATGGACGAAGACAGTGAATGCAGCGTGTTCTTCAGCGACAGCGGAAGGGAATACTATACCGGTCTTGGATGGTTGGCATACCAAGGAAAGCAAGCTAACCTCATCCTGCTTTCCCTGCCGCAATCGCCCCCCCTCACGCCTATCGACTCACCACCACAGACCCCAGGAGAGGGACCACGGCCCCGAGCCCCATCGTTCTCATATCGGCCTACAGGGCGCGCTGATGCTGTCACGGTAGACCTTCTTCGGCTCGAGGATCTCCCTTTGCTTTGCAAGCAAGACAACTACCAGCTCAGCGCTCACTTCAGAGACATGCCGTCTGACAAGAAGACGCATGTAGCCTTTGCCCCAACCTATGCCCGTCTAGAATGGCAGCTTGCCCGCGGTGAATTTGACGCGGTGAAAATGACGGGGAAGACGATCACTTACAAGGGCGCCAAGACGGGCAACTCGAGGAGCTGGTTATACTGGGCGCATGATATCCCAGCCAAGAAACTTCGGATTCTGAGAATTGTGCATGGGGTGGAGTGCCAGACTAAGGCTCAGAAAGTCGCCGATACGCAGGTTCTCCTTGAAGCAGCCCTGGCCGAGGCAAAAGAATGGGGGCTACCCAGAGTCGTGCTTTGGAACCCAGATGAGGACGTGATTACGGGGTGCAAAGCAGTTGGGAACAGGAACACGGCGAGCGTAAAGGTTGTTTTTGATCAGCAAATGGGTGGTTGTGTACCGAGCTTGCGGTGGAAGCCCTCGGAGCCGGGTGTGCCAGTACGAGTGATTGAGTGGGAGGACAATTACGGATATTGCTTGCCTTGAGGTTTGCGTGATATGGCGTTGGTTGGCGTTTGCTATCAGTTGTTGAGATGGCTTGTGCGGATAATGAGATACCTAAGAATGAACTCCTGTGACACAGGTGAGAAACGGGAGATAGCTTGGTGCTTACCAATCAAACTAAGGCTGGAAACGTTAATTCCACATGGTCTCCTCCGCTGTGATGCTGTGGAACTTTGCGAGTTGTGAGGGGGTTGGGTCAAGGCTGGTGACATGTGAAAAGACTGGGTGATCCAGGTCTGCGTTGTTTCGTATCGTGTCCGTGATCGAGGAATCCGTTGATGGTCCAGTCATTCTACATATATTTCCCTCGATTGAGGTAGATCGATGCCATCTGCAGAGCTGTGACTGATCGAGAGTCGTTGATGTTGCACCACCAGATGAAGAGGAGACCCAAAAGGGCGGGGGGCTTGCCGAGAGTGTGGGGCGGGCCAAGCCTGTCAAAACAAGAGACACACCCCAGGGGTGTAAGGAGTCCTCCCGAATTTGAACGGGGTCCAGGCTCGGGAGTTGCAGTCTCCCATTTGCGAGCGGCGGCAACAAATTGACCTATTTCCTCCTAACCAAACTCCTAGATACAGGGGAAGTGTGCAATGATTGACCGACGATAGCTTTATTTTGTGTGCCGAGCGACGAATACCCCGATCTTCCTGAGCCGATGAACACGACAGGATTTCTTTGTTAAGCGTCGTCGTCTTCCAAGATGCGTCCCCTCCAGCCGCTGAACACAACGAATGCGGGCGCCCGAGACCAACAGACGTTTTTGTCGCCGTCCGATTACGACGCCGATGCGATTTCGATCCGCAGCGATCAGGACACGGATAGTGAGGATGACGAGAGGCAGATGCGAGCGAGGAACAGTCGCGAGTTGAGGGCGCACGACAGGCTGGTGCTGATGGAGGAGGAGGAGCTTGGCCAGTTGGTGACTGAGACACGGAGGAAGAAGGAGAGGGAGAGGAGGGGTTCTGGGTTGCCGTTGCCGATACCGAATCCGTTGACGTTGTTTTCGAGGAGGCTGAGCGATGCTTCGAGATCGAGGTCGGCGAGTCCGTCATTTCACTCGGCTGAGTCGGTTGACGGGAATGATGTGGGGGAGAGGAGGTCGAGGAGAAAAGCGAGGAGGAAGGCGAAGAAGGACCGGTTGCTGACTGAGGCGCAACATGGTGAGGATGGGGAGTTGATGTATGAAATGGAAGAGGGGGGGGTGAAGAGTGGGAGCGATACTGGGGAAAGCAGTGATCGGGATGACAGCGATGAGGTGGACAGGAAGAATCTCTTGCACATGGGTGCTGTGAAAGCGAAGAGAAGGAGGAACTGTTGTCGCTGGGGCCTACTTTATGCACTCATAATTGTTGGCTTTGGGATTCTGGTTTTGGTGGCTTGGAAGTTGTCAATTGAGAAGAAGGCAACGGCACAAACCGCAGCGAAACTTGTCAGCAACGGCACGGCTCTGTTCGCTCCTACGACCATTATCATCAGTTTAGACGGATTTCGCGCCGATTTTGTTGACAGGGGCTTGACACCGAGGCTCAATGCCTTTGTCAAAGAGGGTGTATCACCACGCTATATGCTGCCGTCTTTTCCCAGCGTCACCTTTCCTAATCATTACACCTTGGTCACTGGGCTGTACCCCGAGGCTCATGGGGTGGTTGGAAACTCCTTCTGGGATCCCGAGCTCAAAGAGGAATTCTACTACACTGATCCTAAAAGAAGCCTGGATCCAAAATGGTGGAAGGGTGAGCCGTTCTGGGTGACAGCTCAGAAGCAAGGCCTCAAGACTGCGATACATATGTGGCCTGGGAGCGAAGCTCACATTCTCAACACGAACCCTACCTACATGGACAAGTACAACGGAAAGGAGAAGCTGTCCAAGAAAGTCGACCGGGTTCTTGAGTTCCTGGATATGCCGGATGATGAGCGCCCGCAGGTGATCGCGGCATACATTCCTAATGTTGATGCGGTTGGGCACACATTTGGTCCCAACAGTACCGAAATTCAGCTTACAATTGGCAAGGTCGACAAGATGCTAGACCGCATCTTTAAGGGGCTGGAGGAACGACGCTTGACAAATATTGTCAATGTCATTGTCGTTTCTGACCATGGCATGGCAACCACCGATATAACACGCGTTGTGCAGTTGGAGGATCTTGTCGATGTCAGCAAGATCGAACACACCGACGGATGGCCGCTGGTTGGTTTGAGACCGAAGAATCCCAATGATCTTCAGGAGATTCACGCACAGTTGGTTGAGAGGACCAAGGCGAACCCGAATCTCGACGTGTACCTCAGGGATATGGACATGCCTGAAAGATGGCATTTCTCCCGGAATGACCGCATTGCTCCTTTATGGATCGTGCCCAAGACTGGGTGGGCGCTTGTGAAGATGGAGGAGATGAATCTGAAAGAAGCACAAGCGAAAGGTACTGTCTATGCGCCACGCGGCCTACACGGGTACGATAACGAACACCCTCTAATGAGGGCGTTGTTTGTCGCTCGGGGCCCTGCTTTCCCTCACCAGCCAAATAGTGAGGTTGAGGTTTTTCGTGAGTAGCATGGATTTTTTTCGCTTTCTTGAATCTTGAACTAACCACTTGGCAGAAAACATCAATGTCTATAACATGCTCTGTGATTCAGTTGGGATCACCCCTGCGCCAAACAACGGCACCCTTAGGCTTCCTCTGAAGCCGATTGGTCTGCACAGTGATCACGAATTTGATTCGCCTGCTGAGTCGAGCACCCAAACGCCTGTGTTCTCAAGCTCAACATCGGCGAAGCCTGTCATGGTCAACCCAGTCACAGCCAGTGCTCCTTTGGTTGCTCCAACAGCAACAGTGACAAAGACGGTTGAGAAGACTATCGAGGTCGACAAGCCGACAGCGCAGCCCTCTTCGGATCCCTCAGGCGATGACGAGGGCGATGATGGCAAGTCCCCTCTGGATAAAGTAGATGACTCGGTCAAAGGGTTTTGGGACTGGTTTTCTGGAAAGGTCTCGCATTGGTGGGACAAAGTCTCCAACGGCAGTGATGGCGAGAGTGAGGAGCCTCCCGAAAACCCCAACGAGTAATCACAGGTGTGGCTTGGGGGGAAAGGTTGTATAATGGTGTCTTTTGACACGTGCTTGCATAGAGGCTCATTGCATCAGGCCGGTCGTTTTGGGTATTTTTGAAGGAGTTACCAGGAGTTGGAAATTAAATTGCCTTGGCCTCATAGCTGTACTAAGGTTGCTCTGAAGAGCAGCTAGGTTTGGCCGTATATTTCGTGTCGTTTAGTAATACCTAGTAGTTGACAAGTTAACGTCTACCAGTAATCCGATTCGGTCTGAACTCGAATGCCTCATGGGAGGCTGAGTGAAGCGTGTTCAGCTTTTTCTTTCTTTTTGTTGCCGGTAGCGTGTTTGCTGTGTAACGTGCCAACACATGGCCCATTTACTAATAGTTGCGTTTTCTCCCTCCATGTTATCTCCCTCCATGTTTTCTCGAGGTTCTCCATTCCTGATATTAATGGCAGGTAACTTTGGAAGGAACTATCTCCTTGCTATATCAGATGGACGTTTGAAGACGTCAAAGTCGCACGAGCTCCAAGCCAAGAGATTTTGTTTCGACAAGACTTCAGCTGAATCCCTGCAGGTGTGCCTGCTGGGTCTCCACTTTTGTTTTGCGGCAGTGGAGCGGACTCCACTGAAAGACGGGGGTGTTGTGGGGGCTAATCAAGGATTGCCCCACTATCTGCCTGGTTGATTAGAGCGCGCCCCGGTGTTGTTGCAACATGGGAATTCGAGAAACTCAGCGCTGGGCCCGACAAATCCAGTGCCGAGCCTCTCAGTCGTCACCAAGCATGCATGCAACATTGCAGAAAGAGCAGTAATAATCGCGAGGTCCAGGTATCCTATCCTATCCATCCTCTGCGCGCTGCTGAGCTCAGAGAGGTAAGCCTGACCTTTTCAAGTTTCCAGCTCTCAACAGCCCCCCAAAAGGCGACCAATTCTCCAGCTAGTTTTTGTCGCACAATCCCAAATCCCATTGACCGTCAATCAATCTTTTCCTCCCTTCCGCATCCCGTCTTCCGCATCAACGCCAGTGCCTGCCTGCCCAACTGACTAAAACCAGCAAAGGCGCGCCAAGTTGAAGTTGCAGTAAGAAAAAGACGATCACTGCCCCTTCTCCTGCAAGAAGGTACCGGCCAACTTTGACCGACCATTCAGGGCTACCTTTTTTTTGCCTGCCCGCCTTTGCCTGCTTTTGCCCGCGCGCCAGCCAGCACTTGGTTGGCTTTGGAAGCTGCAAGCCCCGAAAGCCTCGTCTTCCATCTAGTCCCTTCTCCTCTCGCCCAACTTGCTTCGCCTGGGGGACTGACCGACCGTCGAAAACAGTCACAGGCTACCGTGCCACTACAGCCTGAGCTCCCCGCCCTATCCGCTAAAACTCCCTACTTAGGTTGTCCAACAAAACTTAAACCGAAGGAGACGCACACCCACAAACTGCACTTCTGGGTGCTTTTGGCAAAGGCAGCCTGCCTGGCTGTGCATGTGGCTACCCGCTCTGCGACTGCGGCTCCCGTTCTCTTCTTTCACCTCATCAGGCACCGTCAGTGCCCTTAAATTTCACAAACCCGAGCCCCATGGACCTCGAAGAGGATATTGCGATTCAAGGGACGATACTGGAGGTCGTTGTTGGAGCAACCGCGCGACTTCTGAAATCAACAAGCAAATATCGGGAAGCCAAGGCTGAATTGATTAAACTCCAAAGAAAGGAGGGCCCGCCGGGAACTTCGTCAGAAGGTTAGTTCAAGTCCTGCATTCCTCCATGGCCGGAATGGCGTTCAGTGCTGACGAGAGCTCCTACCACAGGCAAAGGTACGCAACCAAGTCCTTCAAAACCCTGCCCGAAAGAGGTTTTGGACATGCACATATTCAAACTCATGCTAATCATTGCCCCCAGCATCTTCTTACCCCGCCAACGGCTCATCCTCGAGAATGTCGAACCCGCCAAGCTCGAGCCCTGGAGGAGGGCCTCCACCCCACCAGCCAGCCTCTGGATCTCGAAAGCGTTCTTTCGGAAGCTCTCACTTGAATGTTTCTTCATCCATATGGGGTCCAAATAACTCCAACCGAGCGTCGCCGAGCCCGGGATGGGATTACAGTTTTGGGGGCCCTGGGAGCAACGACGTAGATGAAGAATTATCTTCCATTGACCTTACTGGGCAAGCAGTCTCGTTTCACGCTCTGTCGATCTGTGCTAACCTTTGACATAGGGACGATGCGTGGCAGGGCATCAAACAGAGAGCTCTTGATGTGGAAAGGCGCCATGAACAATCGAAGGCCCAGCTTGATCAAGATGCTGCCTTTGCCAGGCAGTTATCGCAAGGCACTTCGACGGCACCCGAGTACGGCTCATCGATACCCACTGGCCAAACAAATGCATTCGACCGAATTTCACACCGCCAACCATCGAGCAGCCAGTTGTCCAATCAAATGTCTCTATCTACCAGACCACGACTTTTGCAGGGAACTACTTCGGAATCGTTTGGAGCGCAGAGTAATGGACTATATGGAAATGGGAACTACCCAACGAACTCGGGGTCAAATGTTACAGGTGGGGCTGGCTGGACCACCACGCCAAGTCGTGGGTATGGTGGCGTTCACACACCGCACACGAGCAGCTACTCCCATAACACAACGCCCGTTAAACTGGGCCCCAGTCAGGTTACAGGGGGTCCGGGTTGGAGCATCGTTCCAAGTGGTCAACCACCACCTATTCAGTCACGACAAGCTAGCAGCTTTCAACACAGCTGTGGAGTCAATGTCAAGTCTGAACCAGGGAGGGCCAATGGGAGTCCGGGATGGAGCATCACTCCAAGTCAAGTGAATGGCATCAACCGCGAGGAAAGCGATCGGATGCCTCAAATGCCGGGGGCCTGGGAAGATTCTGATAGTGGCAGCGACGAGGTAGCTACCGGCGGCTATGCTTTGTGGCAACAAGGGGCTCGCTCGACCCATCCCTCTAGCCGTACTCTTCCCCCACCGAACCCATCCTACAACCGATCCATTCCAGCCTGGAACCCATCCGCGTTACCAGGCTTTGCAAGCGTTAGCCAACTGGCCAGCCTCGATCGACCAGGTCTACTGAACAACGGCAGCTACTTCTCCGACGTGGATTACCTGGGAGGGCAACCCAGTCTTGCTTCAACGATTCATCGTGCAAACAACATTGACTTCCAGAACATGACCGATATGGACGGGAACCCCCTGAATCCGCGGTTAGCGAACTATCTGGATGACTTTGTGCACAATCCTGTCAAAACAGAGGAGGAAATTCAACAACTTCTTTCGAATATTCGACCTGATATGGAAATTCCCGAGGAGGAGCGGGGTGAAACACCGGCGGGCATGAAGTATCCTCTCTATCCGCACCAACAGCTTGCCCTGAAGTGGATGGCGGAGATGGAGACAGGGTCAAACAAAGGCGGTATCCTGGCCGATGATATGGGTCTTGGTAAAACGGTCTCGACCCTGGCGTTGATGATTTCCAGGCCCTCTGAGGACCGGGCAGTGAGGGTAAGCAACTTCTCAGACCCCTTCCTTTTTTATAGCTTGCCTGTTCGTGCCTTGTCAAGGTGTTGGTTGCATTTACTTTACATACAGCAGCTCTTTCAACTTCTGCACTTGTCCAACAGACGCATGTCATTGTTCTTTACAGCCCTCGGTACCGCCGCCAAAGGCATCGACACTATCAGTAAAGGCCTCGACACTATTACTAAAGGTCGACACTATCATCTAACGCATCGATACTATCATTTAACGCATCATCACCATCATTTAACCCATCAACACTATCATTCGACACATCGACCGTATTATTAAACGCCTTCCAAGAACAATGACATGTGTTTGTTGGTCGTCTGTGGGTGTTGAATGGAATGTTGCATCCGTGAAATGGTGCAATTGACGCCTTGAACTAGTTTAATAGGCGTCCTGCTTATCTTTCAGCACATTGAATGCTAATATTGAATAGACTAATTTGATCATTGGACCTGTCGCCCTTATCAAACAATGGGAAAACGAGGTCAAGAACAAGCTGAGGGGTACTCATAAGATGAGTGTTTACCTCCTCCACCAGAAGAAGAAGATACCATTCACTGAGCTCATAAATTACGACGTGGTGCTCACAACGTATGGTTCAATCGCCTCGGAATGGCGCCAGTACGAGAAGCACGTGCAACAACGCAACGCGGCTGCGTTGTATTCGGAGAGAGACGACGGCGAGCTTGCCAAAAAGTGCCCCTTGCTTCACCCCAAGAGCACCTTTTACCGCATCATCATCGACGAAGCCCAGTGTATCAAAAACAAGGACACCCAGGGCTCAAAGGGCGTGCACAAGATCAATGCCACCTACCGCTGGTGCCTTACTGGCACGCCCATGATGAACAACGTATCAGAGCTCTATCCACTCATCCGTTTTTTGAGGATTAAGCCCTTTTGGGAACATAGGCACTTCCAAACGGCGTTTAAATGCCTCGGCCCCCGGAATAATGGTAACAACGAGTATGCTCGCAAGCAGGCCATGGACAAACTCCGGACCGTTCTCAAGGCCATCATGCTGAGGCGCATGAAAACCTCGCAGATAGATGGCAAGCCCATCTTGACTCTACCCCCCAAGACCGAGAGATCCGAGTTTGTAGAGTTCTCAGTGGATGAGACACAATTTTACAAAGACCTCGAAGAGAGGTCGCAGGTTGTCTTCAACAAATACCTCCGTGCCGGTACTGTTGGTCGCAACTACTCCAATATTCTTGTTCTTCTGCTGCGGCTTCGCCAAGCATGCTGCCACCCTCACTTGATTGATTTCGAGTGCGTCGGCAGCGCAACCACCGCTGACGAGACCATGGATGATTTGGCCAGGAAGCTTGATGCTGCAGTCATCCAGCGTATCAAGGACATCGAATCTTTTGAGTGTCCTATCTGTTATGACGGCGTCGAGGATCCAGTCCTAGCTATACCCTGCGGCCATGACACCTGCTCAGAGTGCTTCACTTCGCTGACAGACAACGCGGCCAGGAACAATGTTCTTACAGGTAACGAGAACGCCGGTGCTAAGTGTCCGCAATGCCGCGGCCCCGTTGATGCTTCAAAGGTGATCAAGTACACGACTTTCCGAAAGATTCATATGCCGGAAACTCTTCCTAAGGAAGATGTCAAGGAGGAGGAGCTGCCAGAGATTTCAGACTGGTCTGGCTCGTCAGAAGACGAGGATTCCGACAATGATTCTGTCGGCAGTTTGAATGACTTCATCGTGGAAGACGATGATTCAGATGAACTCAGTGAGGGTGAAGCTGCAGCCCAGGCGATGAAGATGGCGGAAGCCAAGGCGGAAGCGAAGGCGAGAAAGGAAGCGAGACGGGCGGAAAAGAAGACCACGAAGGCGTCCAAGAAAGGCAAGGAGAAGAGTAAACTGAGCAAGGGGAAGAGCAAGGTTGAGCCGGTCAACCCAAGTCAGCTGCGGACACTCCGCCTTGAGGCTGGCAGAAACAAGGAGGCCCGTCGGAGATATATGCACTACCTCCGCGATAATTGGGAGGACTCGGCGAAGGTCACCCAAGTCATTGAGCTTCTGAAGACGATCCAGGAAACCAATGAGAAGACCATCATTTTCTCTCAGTGGACCTCCCTGCTGGACTTGATCGAATGCCAGATCAAGTACAGCCTCAAGCTGCGTCACTGCCGGTACACTGGCGACATGTCGCGCACCCACCGCGACGAAGCGGTTCAAGACTTTGTAGAGAACCCCGAAAACAAGGTCATGCTGGTGTCCCTCCGGGCCGGTAACGCGGGACTGAACCTGACGTGCGCTTCGCGTGTCATCATTTGCGATCCCTTCTGGAATCCATTTATCGAGATGCAGGCTGTCGACCGCGCCCACCGTATTGGGCAGCAAAAGGAGGTGCAGGTCCACCGAATCCTGGTCAAGGAAACGGTCGAGGACCGCATCATGGATTTGCAAGAGAAGAAGAGGGAGCTGGTGGAGAGCGCCCTGGATGAAGACAAGAGCAAGCAGCTGGGCAGACTGGGTGTTCAGGAGCTGGCTTACATCTTCAATGGCGGCGCGAGACCCCCTCAATAGGCGTCAGAATTGAACCGAAAGGCCTCAGTAGAGAGTGAGAAGGCCTCAGCGGATAGTCGATAGGCCTCAATTTTTACTTGACAGGCCTTGTTTGGGGGCTGGAAGGCGTCAAAATGGAGTTGAGAGGCCTTGTTTGGAGGTTGGGAGGTGTTGTTGTCGGGAGACAAGGCCTCGAGGACACACAAAAACGCGGACAATGGACGCGGGTGAGGCCTACTTTTTACCTTTACCATGTCAATATTTTCTGTATGGTTTTTCTTTTCTTTTTTTTTTTCCCCTTGATGTTTGTTTCGTCTTTTTTTCTGCCTTGTCCAGACAAGGATTGGTCAGATGTCCGTTTTTCTTTTCCTAGGTCATGGGTTATGGGGGTTCTCACCTTCCGTTTCTGTGCAGTCTGTAGTGGTAATGGGCATCATGATTCCCCCCTTTTCCCTGTTTTTCTCCCTCTGTTCATTATAGACTGGTGAGGTGTGGTTCTGGGGAGGATGGAGACGCACTGGTCGAGTTGCATGTGGGGCGGGGGGGGGGCGGGTTGCCTCACGGCATGGGAGGATGGAAGGGGTGATGGATGAAGGGAAAAGGGGGTCAACTTGCATTGTGTGGGCGTTGGAGGCGAGACGGATGGGGCTTTTGCTTGTGTATGTATGGGTTTTTGGTAGTGTAGGCTATTTGTGGTGAGCGAATGGGTGGTGGTAGATGAGGGGGAGACTGCCACCTTGCCTGGTCAAATTAGCTTTGATTTTGAGAACTTTGAGTTGTGTGATGGTGATTGAGGTGATGTGATTTACGATGATGAGTGCTCGGGCTGGGTGAGTGCTCGGGCTGGAGCTGGACAACATAATTTAAGTGAAAAGAGAAAACCACAGGAAACCCCGGGCACGCAAGATACGCTTCAATATCACATCAACAGTTCACACATCAAAGAGTAAGGGAAGTCAAAGCCTTATTATTGTGGAGCCGACATATCAATCTCAGCGGTTTTATTGAAACACTCTCGGCCGGGTGTATACCGCATCCCATCATCCAACACCCATAACGTCATCTCCTACCGTCCAGTCCAACCTCAATATTTTACAAAACACATACATCATAATCATTAACCCCCCCCCCCCCCTTACCCCAACCGATCAAACCTCTCCCGAGCCCTATCCCTCGTCTTCTCCACAAAGTCACTGAAATCCCCCTTCGTCCTCCTTTGCGCCTCCTCCCCAGCATCCCCAAGCTTACTCCCCTCCGCCCCCAACCCAACACCAGGAGCATAAACCTCCGTCGCAATGGCATCCGTCCTCCCCGCCCCCTCGGCCCCAAGTCCCGCACCCGCCGTCCACCCCATCTTGGCCAGCATACCCGCCCCTTTGCTCTTCTTGGCCGGTGTGTCCGCCTCTGCGGACAACGAAGAAGGTTCTTTCCTCTTTTCTGGCACAGATGTCTTGTGCTGATTGGTGGGTTTCTTCGGCTGACGGAAAGCTTGCCTACGTTCCAAGGCTCGATCACGATAGTTGGGCTCACTACGCTTAAGTTGCGCTTCCCACTCGCGGTAGAAGGCTTGGTCGGGGATGCAGCTTCTTTGTTTCTTGCCCAGTTTCTTGAACTCTTCCTCTGCGCGAGAGCGGGCTTTAGGGTGGGCGAGGTTCCGCTTGTGGAGTTCGCTTTGCTGTTCGTGTAGCCAGATTACTTCCATCTTTTGAAATTGGCGCTTGCAGAGTAGACAACGGAGGCGGTCAAAGTCTGCGTATGATTTGTATTTGGGCAGGGGTTCAGATTTGAGACGAGGGGTACGGCGGATGATGGTGCGGTGCTTCTTGCCAAGAGCACTGAGAGCAGCCGCGGCTTTGTCCTTGATCTCGGGGTCGTGGTAGAATAGATGGGCTGTCCCTTCGTGGTGAATAAGTAGGTCGTTACGTTCTTGGGTTGATCGCTCCGTCGGTGCTTTCCAGCCGCAAGCCACGCATGTCATCGCCTCCCAGTCGGCATAAGAAATGTACTGATCAGCCCAGTGAGGCGCAAATGGACCGTCAGGCTCTGTGCTCTCAGACTCACGGATGGTCGTGAGGTTAAAGTTGGAGGACTCGGTATCGGTATTTGAGGGATCTGTGGCCCTGGCTTTCGAACCATGCAATTCGGCTGACTTCTTGGCCCACAACTCCATCTGAGGCATCATGATGGGTTTGGCACCAACAGCAACTCCCAGGTCCTTCTTAAACTTCTTGAACGTCTTGGAGACATTTTTGGTTGGATCATCATTGGCATTGTTGCTCTTGTCAGGCTGTGACACCTCAGAGATAGGCTCGGTGGTGACAACGTGTACGCTAGGGTAGGCGCGGTCATCCCAGTACTTGATGCGAACGGCAGGATTGTAGATAGGGCTGAATGAGAGATCTTGATTCTCAGGTGTAACAGGATCGAACGAAGGAACAAAAACTCCTGTGTGAATAAAGGCAACGACGACTGGCTTTGAGGCGATGGTGAACTTTGTCGATGCCTGGAACTTCTGAACGGCGGCCACGGCATCCTCGACAGTGGCAAATTCGGCGAAGCCATATCTCCAACTTTCGTTGCTTCTGCGATCTCGCATCACGAAAACACGACGCAGCGAGCCAGGCTTCGCGCCCATGCCGACAGTGCTCTTGGTGGGTGCCGTTGATTTGAGTTTGTTGGTGCTCGGGGCCTCTTTTGGTGGCTCTGGGTTCTCCAGAAATAACTTCATGACCCCTTTGGCCAGAACCTCCTCTGTGACAGAACGGTCGAGGTTGCGAATTACGACATATTGAGACGGCATCTGCTGGGGGCACTCGTCGGTCTCGCCAGTTAATAATGGGCCACCTCCATATCCATCATCCTCTGGACGTTCAGTTTTGCACTTGAAACACACAGCTCGGTGCGGGTAGTTAACAACATGGCACTGCGGTCGATTAGTCTCAGACCATTTACAGGGCGAAATAGACGGCACATACAGTTACACACGTCCAACCATCATCTTCTCGGCCTTCTCGGCCTTCTCGGCCACCGCGCCGTGACTCCCGAGGATCAGGTATGTCGTCGCGGTAATTAGGGTCCTGAATGCCGAAGGTGAAGAACTCAGAGTCCTTCCCGCGGGAATGCTGAAGTGGAAAAGAAATTTCCGGATAGAACTGGTCCAGAAAGTCTTCAACCTGCGATCGACGTTGGAATTCGACAGCTGCAATCCGCTGACCTGAACACCCCGCATTAGCACCTCCGACACGGAAGATGGGACGAGAGACTTGGTCCAGGAATGAGCGACCTACCGTTTTGATCGTACCGTAATCGAACGAGCTTCACTTGATCGCTCGAGAACTGATGGTCTCGGGTTACAAAGTCGAGACCGTAGAGGACGTCGCGCTCGGTGGCATCCTCAGTGAGACCTTCAAGAATCAACACTTTGGACGAGCCAAAGCCCGAACCCGCACCGCTGTGCTCCCCACGACCGTGACCCCGACCACCCGCACGCCCAGCGCCAGGATTCCTATCTCGAGATGGCCGACTTTGTGACACATCGCGATCTAGATTGTATCGTGAAAAACGTTCACTATGTTCCAAATCGATATCTCCTCGCCCGTAACGGTCCGACGGCGGGCTACCAGACGGTCGTAGGTGTCCACCGCTGTGAGGCCTGTCGCCCCGATACCGTCCGCGATCCGGGTCGCCACCAGTGCGAAGGCTCCCGACAGCTTGTCTCGAGTTATACTCCTGGTCATCGTCGTCGTAGTTGAGGTTCCTCAAAGGAGGCGCTGGAGAATCTTTTGCGGTCGAGGCAAACACACCCAAAGTTAGCCATCTTCTGCTCCATATCGACAGTTTGCAAACCGCAAAGCAACAAGCGGATATCGTAGAGTGCTTCTGCTAGGACAGGTTTATCGTGTGGTTTTACCCTTCCTCGAGCGGCGGTAATCGCCACCTCTTTCATCAGGGCGACGATATTCGCGGTCGCGATAGCTTCCACTGCGCCCGCCATCCCGCGATGGGGATCTGGAGCGATGCCGCCCCTCGTCGTACATGATGCTGAAGTGGAACTGAGTTCCAGAATGGAGAGATAGATCCCAATTGCTTGAGATGAAGGTGGTGTTTGGTTGTCTGCTGCTCAAAGCATAAGTACAAAGTTGAATGGCGAGGACCTTGATGATTTGTCAGGAAATCGAGACTCGAAGCCAAGCAATCCCTTTAACTGGGCAAAAGGCCAAAACTCGCTGTGGCCCAATAAAACCTGGTCTTCACTAACAATTAGTACTCGTCTACTACGCACGCCCTAGGCAATACTTTTCCCGCCTCCAAACCTACCCTAGTAAAGGCATTTAAATCTCGGAAAACGCGCTAAAACCCTAGTTTTTTAAGTCTTAGCTGTACTTTTACATCTGTAAAGTGTTGGCTAACCTCAAACACACTATTTAATTTAATTAGTAAGTTAAATAACCATGAAATACTAAGCCTATATATTTTATTAAATTACTTTATTTTTATATATAACTCTAAGTCTAATAATTATTTAAATATTTTTTTAGAATCAATAAACTACTACTCGATAATCTAAATAATTAAACTAAATATAATACCTTCGAGTATTTAATAAAATAAACTATGTACTTTACTAACTTCCTAAAATAATCGCAATAATATTTTTTCTTAAATATATATTTAATAAAAAACATAACTTGATATCTTTTCAAAAACTTTTTAATATATGAAAAGTATTAAAATACTGTTATAATTAAAAACCTAATAAATAACAAAAATTATTATAAAATATCTTCGAATATATTTTAAATAATATATAAAAATATAGCTTTTGTTTATGGATTTTACAGTGTATCTGAGCCTTATATATTTGTGACGAACCCCTGTTGTGACGAACCCCTGTATAGAACCTTTGAAAGGGATACTGGTTAAAGGTAACTTCTGATAATTGGTTCGGTGCAGCTAAACAGTGCATAATAAGATATCTCGATGTAAATACAAGATGCTGTAAATACAATTGTGAATTTGTAACGAACCCCTGTACAGAACCTTTAAAAGGGATACTAGTTGAAAGTAATTTCTAATAATTAGTTCGGTGTAGCTAAATAATGTATAATAAGATGTCTTAATGTAAACATAAGATATCGTAAATATAAGCTGTGAATTATATACTGCGGAACTATTTATTTATACTAGCTAGTTCCTCCGTATATATAGACCGGTTTATTACTATTATTACTAATAATAATATCGATTATTACTTATCGTTTATCGAAGGCTAGTAATAATTATAATTATTACCTTTAATACTAATAATAATCCGATTTCCCTACTTTTCCGTTCTAATAGTTGGACGGTCGCGCCCCGCGCTCCCCACTTATATTAGGTCCGTAATATAATGCCTCTCCTCTAGGTTAACGTCCCGTTAGCCTAGTTTTATTGACTATATATATTCTTTTCGTTTCCTCTTTTTTCTTTATAAATCTTCCTTTTTATTCTTTAATAGCCTAATTAACGCTATATCTATAATAAAACCTTTATTATTATTTATATAGTATTATATTAAACTCGCTTAAAATATTATTAAAAACGGTTTCCTCGTTATACTTTACTTATAATATAATTTATAGAGATTATTTTACTATATAATAAATAAAGTAAAGTATTATAAGGCTTACGTATATTATAGTCGTTTATATAATAGTACCGGTGTCCCTATTTTATTACGTAAGTCTCCCGTTACCTCTCTTTTTTTTTTACTAATCTTTTTTTAAGAAATAAAATTATGCGAGAGTAATATTATCTTTAAAAAGAAAAGAAACGTACCGAAACTCTTTTAATCGAGTATTAGTAAAAAGCTTTTAAAGCTTTAGTTCGTTTATCGCGGGTCCGTCGTTAACGTAAGTTTCTTATAAATAAAAGAGCCGTTATAGTTACCCGCGGCCTCTCTTCTCTTAATAAGTTAGAAACTACCGAACGTATTAAATAGAAGGAAGTTACGTAAGTCGCGCCGGTTATTTTATTATTTAACGACGCTTTTTCTTTTAATCCTACTTCCTTAAGTCCTTTTGACTTTTCTTTTTTAGATCTTTCCTTAGGTTTTGACTGGCCTTCCAACCTTCCTTTAGACCTTAATACGGCCGGTCCTTCTTTTTTAACTCCGTAAAATATTATTAATAATATACCTTTTACTTTTTAAAGTAATTAAAATATACGGTACTATTTATATTTAGGTCTCTTTATACTTTTTAATTTTATAATATAATATATAGTACGTCGGTTATTACGTCGAAAATATAGGTTCGACTCCTATTAGGGTTCTTTTATATTTAAGTTTATAAATACTTTTCTGTAATTTAAGTACGGTTCTTTTTAGTTCTTTCGTTAATAATATATTTTTAATTTTTTTTTATTACGGTAAAGGCATACGGTATTAATTAAGCTTAAATTTCTTTATACTTATTAATCTCGTAATATAATATATAGTACATCGATTATTACGTCGAAGGTATAAATTTGATTCCTACTAAAGTTTTTCGGTATTTAAATTTATAAATATTACTCGTAAATTTAAATATTAATTTTTTACTTACTTAAGCTTTAATTAATTTAAGTATTATTAATAAAAATTTTTTTATTTATTTAAGTAATTAAAATATACCTTTAATTCCTATAAATTATTTATAATTAGATATCCTAATTAATTAATTAAATATTTTAATTAATTTCTATTAAACTATAAATCTAATATTTCTTCTATATTATATTCCTTTTCTTTATCCTCCGCTACTATCTATATATTAACCTTACTTACCGGTAATATAGATTCTAAAAGTGAAATATAAAAAGTATATAATTTTAAACGTATCGTATTAAGTAGTTTTAATTCGAATACCGTTTCCGATATTTTTTTTTAACTTTAAATAAACCTACTTTCCTATAGTCTAGCTTCTTATTAGGTCTTTTAATACGTAAATTACGTATAAAAAGGAATACTATATTTCCTCCTTTAAAGTAAGGTTCTTCGAGCTTGTTAATATTATAGTATTTCCGTATCCTTTCCTTTATAAACTCTAATTTTTACTTAAATTTACTATAAAATATATATAATTTATTTACTTTAATTTTAGCCTTAAATACTTTAACGTTAAGTCCTTACTATAGGTTTACCTTATATTTAAAGTTTATAAAGAATAATATAATTTTAATCGTTTTAATTAATAATATATTATATATTAATTATATTATAAATAATAATTTAACTTAATTATTTTACTTAAAATTAATATAATTCCGTAAATATTATTTTATAATTTAATTAAGCCGTTCCGTCTAACCGTTTATTTAAAGGTAGTAGGCCGATAACGCTTTATTTATTACCCTTAGTTTTATTATTAACGTTTTTTAAAATTTCAATATAAATTTAATATCGCGGTCCGTAATAAACTCTTTTAGTTATATATATATTAATATAATATATTATAATATTATATCCGCTAATTACTTTACCGATTAAATTTCTTTATAAAATAAAAAATATATTTATTTAGTAAGCCTATCTGTGACGAACCCCTGTACAGAACCTCTAAAAGGGATACTGATTAAAGGTAACTTCTAACAATTAGTTCGGTGCAGCTAAACAGTGCACGACAAGATGTCTCAATGTAAACACTAGATACCGTGAATACAAGCTGAATTGCATACTGCGGAACTGTCTATCTACACCAGCTAGTTCCTCCGTATATATAGACCTTGGGACCGTAGACCGTTGACTTACAGACGGTCCTCGGTCCACCCCTAATTAGCCGATACTGGACCGTGGACCGTAAGCTCCGCCGCGGTCCCCGGTCCCTATCTGATTGGTCCGTTTGCCTACCTGGACCGTGAGCCCCGCTCGATTGCGCGGTCCAGTCCTGATTGGTCCGTCGTGGCCCCACTGTCTTCCAGAACCGTGACACTATCGACTACCGTTAATATATTATTATATTTAACGCCGGGTTACTATATTTTTTAACTTTAGTAATTTAATAATAAAGTTTATTATAATTAAACTCTATAATTATTTTATTATTAATAGTAGCTTTAGAAATCCGTAAGGCTTATACTTTATAATCTTTATTTTCTCATACGTATAGTATAATTAAATAGCTTCTTTAACGTTATCCTTAATCCTTAATTAATTAAAGTACTATTTAATTTTTTCTATAATCTTTACAATACTTATATATCTACCGAGCTTCGATCTATAAATCTTTATTACTAATATTATTCTATTACTTATTATTATATATATTCGATTTTTATATTATAGTTTTCCCTAATTATTTTTTTAAATACTTTATAACTTTAATTCTTCCTATTAATATTACTTAATAATATCGTTACTTAGCCTTCCTTAATATTTATTATTAAAAGTAGTTTACTTATAATAT